GAAAATATCTTCTCATTTTCTCATGGCCTATTAGGGTTGCTCTTATAAAGTTACCATATCCATCTCTCCGACACAATACTATCTTCTCATTTACTATTCCTTCTACTAAAAAGATACATTTACTCCCTCCTTTAACCCATCCCCAATTGATGTTTAAGAGGCGACAAGACTATACCATTTTATTAAATAACTAACAAAAATAGGTAAAGAAAATAATTAAAATTTAACCATATGAGTAATAATTGGGATGTACGTTTTAGGACGGAAGTTGATACACTCAATCTGACATTCGGAGGGATTAATTTGTAGCAAAGTTAACTCAGAAAGCAAAAAAATGTGGGGGATAATTTAAGATTATAAATAATTTCTGTGCATTATTCGAATGTAGTCTTAATAATTAGGATATTACATACATTTATTTTAATTTGATGGGATATTACTCGTATTTAATTATTCTTATCCAGTGGTTGGATTAGAAAAGCTATCTAGCTAGCTGCATGGAGGGATGATTAAATAATTAATATAATTAGTGATTTTTAAAATATAAAAAAAATAGTCCGTAATTATGGAAAAGGAATAATTAGAGTGGGGATATTATATTGTTGAATACACACACAGTACACTCACACTCGACTAGTACTACGTACTAACGAAGGTGTGACGACATCCATGTGTCCATTTGTCCCTAACATAAAAATACAACAATTGTCAGCTGTTTCACGATGTGATTATTTAAGCTAATTAAGGACATAAATTTGTACTATATATTTGCTTGTAATTTTGTATTACTGTTAATTATTATTATTATTATACTACTGCATTATTCATTCATTCACCCATCACACACTAAAATAAAGTTTATGGTTTTTAGCTGTACTGTTATTAATTAATGATGTTTTATCAAGACCGACGGCTGTAGTATATGTTGTCTTACTACGTACATTTCGTTATAATGCCGATTAATATAATTAATTAAGCTCAGTTTCCATGCTTGCAATTCAATGATCCATGCTAATTTCATGCTGATGGAGTAGTGGCCGAATGCAAGACCATAGTTATCTATATGTATGTGTCTCTGATATACGTACGGATGTACAATCTTATATCGTCACGGTCGAGGACCTAGCCGATACGAAAAATGTTGGCAAATTATACTGTACATTTTGGCATTCCATACTTTCGTGGCATAAATTAAAATACGAGTTATATTTGCCGACGATTTGTTCGTATTAGTTCAAAGCTTATTCGATTCTTCAGCAATGAGACTAGCTAGTTAAACAGAGTTAGGTGCCTTTAACGTTAACTAAGTTTGATTGATTTCAGACTATTAGATCATGAGAGCTAGTGAGCTGAGAATATATAGCGATGTAACTGAGGTAGACCATAAAATATGTGAAATATGAAACTTTTTGTGAAGAATGACATGGATGAAGAATATTCTCTCCATCTCATAAAAAGGTCTCATCACATCTTCCTGTCAATTTAAAGCTGAAACTTTTTTTATAGAAAGTATTGTTAAAGAGTATCCCACATCAAAACTTGAAGAGAAAATAAATCGGTATATAAGCTCTTGAATTGAACTAACTAATCGATTGGATTCAATCTTTTAATGTGGTTCAATTCAGTTCAAGTGTCTTATATATTACCCAATTTAATTATCCTTACCTCATCTTAAATTTTATAAAGATAGAGAGAATATGATCTAGACATGAGAGTGCCACTCCATACCTTCTCATATTCCATAGTTTTGTTTGCGTTTTAATTAAAAAGACAAGCAAAAAAAGACACATAAAGAACAAGACCTAATTTGCTTCATTCACAAATAATTCCTACCTTCCAAGTTAATCTTCCTACTTATTACGTTCTCTCAATATCTTATGTCTATATGCATGTTTTCATTGATCATTCAATTAAATAAAATATTTATGTCGTCTTCTATTTTGTAGAACTTTTTATATAGTTTAAAAGATGTAATCTATATTTTTTTTATTTATATACAAGTTTGCAAATAAAATTATTTTAAAATATATGAGATTTAACACGTTCTTCCAAAAAAAGAATAAATATGAGACGAGGGATGTATTTGATTGACTATCATGACATTTATGATATACGAGTATAAAAAGTGGGGAATATACTTGAAGGTTCTACTCCCTCCATCCCATGAAATCTTTCTCTTCTTTTTTTATCCGTCCTACAAAACACTTTTCATTTCTATTAAAAGTCACTTTTACCCCTTACTTTTTCATACCTTAACTATCACATCATACCTTTTTACTAATAATCTATCCATCAAATCATACTTTTACCCATCACATCAAAGGACATTTTTGGAAATTCAATACCAAAATACACTCTCTTTAAATCCCTCCTAAAAAGCAAAAGTCACATGTTTCATGGGACGGAGGGAGTATAACACTGGGTTCTAATGTCATACGTACTATGATCAAGGCTTCAATTGGGGCCTCTACGAAGGTCCGCTCGAAATATTGACGATTCATAGCCCCGACCCGAATGGACCTCTCACCCCTTTAATTGGATCCCTTTAATTGCACCCCCTCCCCCATTTTAGTCGACTTTGGAGTCAATTGAAAGGGGTGAGGGATCAATTCGGATCAAGCCGGGTGGGAGGTCTACCAAAGGAGTTGGATGAAACAGGAATCACCAATTTTTCGAGTGAAGCTTCGTAGGGGCCCCAATTAAAACCTGAATCATCGTATGACATTGGAGTTTAATGTCATATAGAAATCTTTCTGATAAAAAGTTTACCGATTATAAAATTCTCTCCAAATCATATTTATTTTTTATTCAACTTCAATTCAATGGTATCACAAGAGTAATAATGGATGAAGATAACTTGATCAATAGCATGCCAATCCAATTATCCATTTGCTTCGTGAACATAAAAATTGCTCATTTAATTAATTCTCAAAGAGGTAGGCAACAGAGAACTAAACACTTTCGTGCATGCATGTGTTGTGACTTCTTACTCCACCCTGCATTATTATTGTTTATCTCCATAGGAATAGGATAGATAGATAGATATATCTCATTTAAATGGCACCCAAAAAATTAAAAAATAAAATAAAATATGGCACCTATATTGCATTGCTTTTAGTGGTTGCTGAAAGTACTTTAATTGTTATCCATAGACCCACTTGGGGTTTGGGCATCCAATTCCTGCAAGTCTGCAAGTCTTTAATTAATTCAATGATTATTCATCACAGCATTTGTTTTTATTAATACCTGGCACAATTAACTCTTCCACTCAACATCATTCATGCACTAATTGATAATTAGTGGTTCTAAACTTTTGATAGTGTTTGATGTGTATAAAAAAATGGGTATTGCATATTTGACAAGACTTTGTGATTTTGTGTACTAATCATTTCCCAATGTATTCTTTTTTTGGACAATCCTTTTTTGTTCAAACAAGCAAAGGTATTAGTCTATTAGATATGTAATTCATATGTTTCATCCGCAGTTTTGGGAGGGCCAATTTTGAAGTTCTATAAAGCTCCGTTTGGTACACGAAATTCAAACTATGAAATTAGAATTGAGGAACACAATTTTAATTCTGCTGTTTGATAGCACAAAAAACATGTAGATTTGGAATGGGTAGTGCAAAAAATGAATTGGAATTGAAAAATTCAATTCCATCTAATCAATACCATCAATACCCAATTCGATTCCAATTCCGTGTACCAAACGGATCCTAATAATTTTTCAAACGGCCATCGGCTGCTCATAAACAACATAACATAAACCTACACCAAGTCCAAATGGGTCATTGCCTCAATGATCAGTTGCTGTGAACAAAAATCAGGATAGCAACATAATGGCTTTCCTGCTTGCTATAGACAGATAATGGTAAGACCACTCCAACTTGTGAGGAAGAAAAGAAAAGAAAAAAGTCAACTCACTGCAACTTGCATATCTTTACTTTCTTAGATTGATTGTTATTATTATTGTTATATATGCATCCATATCTTCATCACCCATCCTTCCATTGTCAGTCTCCAATTGTTCCACTGGCCTCTCACCTCTTATTTTAGTAGCACTGTGATAATATTAAACACACAAGACACGATTTATTTAATATCAAAGTTAAGAATGGAATCAAATTATTAAAAAATATTAATGGCATTTACCTCTCTATCCACCCTTCCCTATTTGCTTCCAACCAAGCAACACTTCCGGTTGCACAAGGAATTAATGATCCACATGTGTGTAGTGTCTCTTCATCAAAACTACAAAAATATTTTGCCACCTTGAAGTATTATCCATACCAGTCATCATAAACCATCGAGAGCGGGTAAAAAAGAGAATATAAATACGATTTGGCAAGCCAGTTAATTACGACTTTTTACATTCCTTAAAAATTGAATGAATGTGGGCGTACACCTTTTGTCCACATTCATTTGATTCTTAATGTGTGTTAAAAGTCATAATGGATAGTTAATTTAAGAACGGATGAAAGTAGTTCACACGGATCTATTGTGCATCAAATACCTCTCTGCAAGTCTTTGGAACCAAAACAGATGAGCATTTCATCTCAAAGAGCCCCACAGGTCATGCCAATGCTAATTATCCTGGACGTGTATGGGTGCGATCTACAACAGTCATTAAATGGTTTGAGATTTGATACAGGCTCTGCAGCATGGTTTATGAGGTTACAAGATTCTGTTCTTATATGGGTGTACATGCTTCCAAGAAGTATGTTGCACCAGTGCCTTACGCTTTGAATGTTGACCAGCCATTGACCATCTTCTATGGCTAGATGCATACTTTGAAGACGATATGGGCATGTCTAGGCAACCCATGTTTTTCATCATCATAAGTTCATAACTATTAGTATAAGTGCTTAATAATATAAGGAGTATTAGTTTTCTTATATTATTAGCAATGAATCCAGTTATTATTATTAGTAACGAGTCCAGTAATTAGTACTAGTATTAGTATTCTATTTTAATTTATAGTCCTAGTAGACATATCGTAATAAGTAAGAACTCTATTTAGTTACTCAGTGTGACCATTATGAAATAGGGGTTTACCTACATCAAAAATGCATACAATTACAGGCTTAACTGCATAGAACTTTGACACAATCGATCTCTCTAGGTTTTCTATCATGAACAAAACTCTTCTTAAGTAGGTTCTGTCTAGGATGAGCTTGTCCTATCCTACATCACCTTGTAACAGAAGGTTTTCCTATATCTCAGTTGTTGAGTGTACACAAACCTTACCCTTACTTGGAAGTAGAGAGGTTGTTTCCTAGAGACCTCGGCTCAAATACAAAGTACGGGCAAACAAACAACAATAACATTAACGCAGTACGAGTAAAGAGAGAAGAACCACACATGCCAACTCAAACAACTAGATCCTCAGTACACACTACAAACAAGGGCATGAAAACCAAACCAGCAAAAAACCGCAAACTAATTGTGTTTCAAGTGGTAAGGTAGACGATTGAGAACACCTATATATCCTTACAAGCTCAATCCCAAAAACAATTACTCGTGTAAGGATATGAACTACCAAGTTCAATCCTGCTTAGGGCATCCATTTCTTCCTCTATCAAAGAAATTTTATCCTCATTGTCATAATGTGCCATCTGTAAATATTGAGCCTTGCCAATATGCCAAACATTATTGTGTTCATTGAAGTCCTAGAATCAATAATCGTGCATGTGCTCAAATGGTTATATATGATGAAGAGTACTTGCATTACATGGTTATATATTATTAAGAGTTTCTCAGAGATGTTTAATAACTTTTCAAGACTTAAACCTCAAATTAATATTATTTAACCATTTTACATAGTCATAATGCTCAAGAATAGTCATAATTGTTTGCTCTATGAAAGAACAAACAATTACTTGAAACCAGAGTTATTTTATTCTACTGTTATACAATTACTTGAAACAAGAGCTATTTTATTCTACTGTTTATAATACATTATTTATACAATAAATGTAGCTAATAAAGGCTTTCATTTTATGAATCTCTGTGCATGTCTCGTGCATGTATTCATCCAGTGATTCTGTAAATAAGTAGGACAGCAACAATTTCTCAGAGATCAAAATATTCAAGTAAATTGATAGAACTCAAGACTTGTGGGGAGAATAAGTGAGAGATAGTCTTTATCAAATTATGAAATCAGGATCTAACTCCATAAAATAATAAAGATGAATGAAGATCTTTATCAAAATATGAGCAAGAATCTTAAACTCATATAAGTAATAAAACCAAGGAGAATCTCCAATAATAAATATTGAATTACTTTCTGGATAACATTTACAAATAATGAGCCTCAATATTTATATAAGCAAAATAACTACCAATCCCTAGAATTTAGGCCAACTACCACATTACCTAGTAACTATTCCTAGACTTTAGGCTCACTACCACATCACTTAGCAACTACTACTAGAATTTAGGCCACTTACACATTATTTATTACTTAGCAACTAGCATATATAAAATAAAACATTTGACCTGATAAACAAATGACCCCTGACTCTACTATAAATATAAATAACATAAAATAACAGCAAATGTGGCACTCTATCATAAATGGTGTTTGCATTATCTTTCATTCACAAAATGTTTGTATATACTCACCTCGTGTTGGGTAAATGAATCCATACTATGATTCTCCACTACCATTATGATGGTGAGTTTAAGTCTGTTTTCCCTATTTCTGCAATAAGAATACTTCCATTTTTATTAATGAATTGCATAAATCACTTATAGTAATAGTTTTTATGAATAATTGGGTCCAAACACTAGGTCAACATGCCAAAAAGGCTAAGGAGGCAGATTCCAAAGAAGCCCAAGCAGATAAGGATCGAACAGCAGTGCCCAAGAGGGACAAACTGGCTTGTTGGGCCTGTTCGGTGGATGTGCTTGGGGCTCGGATGAGGACTGAGGAGCAGCCCGAGCTAGACTATTTGTTTCCCGTTGGACCACCCATGTTGGGCCAAGCCCAATACCCCCTAGGGTGACATGTACTTCTGTAGCTAGGTCTTTTAAAAATCCTATGGACAACCAAGGACAATTCTAGAAACCTTGGTGAACATCCGAGTTGCGGCTCGGTTCCTCAAGCCAAACATCATTATTAAGTAGTCGTACAACCCCTTTGGTTGACGAAACTACTCTTCTTAGCGTCTGTCGGGTGCATCTAGGCAATAATTGCTGTAAAATGCATACATGCAGCTCATAAGCTTGCACCTTGCAGTTTTGTGCACAATTTGATCAATATTCCGCAATGGAAACAGATCCATGGGGCAAACTTGAATAACACCAGTGTAGTAGACACACATCTTCCAATTTAGAGGCTTAGAACCAAAACATTTAGATATTTTTGGCTTCACTGGCGTGGAACCAAGCAAAAACAGACTTAAATTTCTGGAGCACCTGGATAAGTATGTCTCGGATCTCCATAGCTAGACCTTTGCCAATTTTGATCTTCACTGGCTCTCTGGTCAGGTTGTGTACATCCGACCCCCCCTACCTCGCAATGGGCAAGAGCCTTTGAGGCACTGGGGTAATGTTGTTGTTGTTCGTGGCTCTCTGGATCTACCTTGATTTCTTTGATCTCCCTGACCACCTCAACATACGATCTATTCTCTTCTACCTTTAGGTACTGGCTGGTGACCTCAATGATCTCTGAGTGTTGTACTTGATGGTCTCCTAATACATCTTCAAACTTCAAGTACCAAGAACTTAGCAACTTCTAGCTTCCCCATCACTGTAAGAGTAGGAAACTTGATGCAAAGGTGAATTGGAGAAATGATACCCTATAGATCCTCTCATTCCAACTGACTGAAAATCAAGTTTGTTCCACAAATGACCTGGACCATAAAAATTCCATATCAAGCTTGACTATCTCAAAGGAATCTCCAATCCCTACCAGCAGAGTGATTACCCCCCTCAACCTTAATGGAATCCCCAGTGAAGCCCTTCAACGAAGTTTGCATATTCCTAAGGTCTGCCTGCTTCACACCCAAAAATCTAAAGGTTTCCATATACGTGTCATGCACCAAACTTCCCGTGTCAAAGAAACGGTGAATCACAATGTCATTAATGTTCAACTTGATTACAATCGCATCCCTGTCATGGTTTTCAACCTCCAGCAGCTTATTGTGTGCCCTCCTTGTGCACAAGCTTCTGGAGGTGCCCATTCTAGATCAATCTCAATTCCGTAATGACCATCATCCGTGTTGTGGCCATTTTCTGATGGTACTCACAATACTTCTGGGCATGTATATTGAATACCTTTTAGAAAACAAGTAGGGTATCGGACAATACCTTTGCAATCCACATAATTCCAGATCACACCGAAAAGATGGGTCGGAAGGTGTATTCTTGTTCAACTTTAGACCATCTGCAAATCCTTGGCCCTTCTTCTTTATCTAATTTTTTCTTCTTCCCCCGATACCATCACTGAGACCCTCTCTATCACCATCCTCCATGGCGTACTCCTAAGGACAGCATACCGACTTGAAATGGCTTGGTCAAGGTTATTCATCATGGCACTCAAAAGGTGACAATCCGAGTTGATAGAATTTGGGATGGGTATGGACAACTGGATTGAGTATTAAGACACTTGGGCTGAACCACATTAAAAGATTGAATCCAATCGATTACTTAGTTCAACTCAAGAGCTTATATACCGATTAATTTCCTCACACTTTTCTGATGTGGGATGCTCTCTTTAACACGAGTCATCCATGGATCCATGTTTGTGTTCCTTTTGCCTTTTTGCGCTTTCCTTCTACTTAGTTTGCTCTTTTATCCTTTTTCTTGTGCTTATGTGCTTTCTATGTTGCTTGAGTTGGGGGTCTCTTGGAAACAATCTCTCTACTTGTAGTAAAGGTAAGCTCAGCGTACACACACTCTCCGTAGACCTTGCTTTTGTGGGATTATACTAGGTTGTTGTTATTACTTATACATTTGGTTCATTCCCAATATACCCATTAGATGTGATTATGAATTAGTTTCTCAAAATTTAAAAAAGAGGTGATGACAATGCAAGAACTAGAGGTGATGAAACCCCAAAACTAGCACAACAAGCATTTTATCTCTTGACAGAGAAACTCACAATTGTTCCCACCTTAATTTTAAGTCTCCTGTGAGAATTGCTGGCAAACACTTCCTCTCCATGCTTCTGTCATTATTATGAAGTATAAGTGTTTAAAACAAGAAATAGTCATTCTCTTTATACAATTAGGTCCAATGAAACACATCGGTGCTTACTGCTTACAATTTTATATTTGTATTTCCCATGAATGTCATCGTCTGAGATAATGTCAGATGAAAATCCAAGAACAATGATGCAAATAGATAGTTGGGAGACTTTCACTACCTCTCCTTCTGGTAACCACATTAGCCATTACAACATGAACATAAGTCAATACAAAGGCAACTAGCATCAGAACAAATTCAGTGTCATTTCCCTACTGCTTATGTAGTTAAGAACATGGAACTTCATGTGTAAAACACACAATCAGGAATACCTAAAAGCATATCCATCTTTGGATAAAATAGTAACAGCTTTGCCTGAAATCTCACACTAAAATATGGGTGAATCCCTGGTATAATATTTGCCAGTTTAATTTCAAACTTCGGTTCGTATGCTAGTACCACACCATCTAAGGCTTCATCAAACCTTTTGCAATAGGAAAAAAAGGCGAAAGAAGGGTCCAATCATCACATTATACCATAGTTTGTAAGGTGTCGCCTAGGCGATAAGGCGCTGTCCTTTGGATGCCTAGTCTGCTCGCCTCGCCCAGAAAACCTTAAGGCGTTCAGGCGGTCGCCTTTCTCGCTTTGATGCCTTGGGCCCCACTAAAATTTTGAAAAGCCCAAATTTTTAAGTGCATCCCAATTTTTTTAGTGCAACCCAATTATTTTGAATGCCTAATTTAAAATGTTTAAAAAGATTTGACTTTAACTTGTGACCTACGGTATACACACACACACACACACACATATATAGACACACACACATACATATATATAGGTCTCCTAGGCGATATGAAGGTACATTGCCGCCTCGCCTTGGCACCTTACAAACTATGTATTATACTAAATACACTCGATGCCAATTAAAAATCCAAAATATACCTCATCCATCCCCCAGGCCCCAATTCAGTTCTCAATGTTCCTACGTTCTTTTTGTACGTCACAAATTAAATTCACACATCCACTTTTGGCATGAAAAGTGATAGCAAAAGACTTAAACACCCTTCAACCACTTTCACACTTATTACCCCATTTATTGCCCCACACGATGCATTATCGCACTCCCCACTTAGGCAGACATGTAACAGTACCCCCCCCCCAAATATCATTTTACCTCCCCCTCATTTACCCATTTACCCTAGAAGAGGACAACTCTTGCAATTCTTGTCTCTTCAACCCTAGCTTCTTCCCCATCCCTTCATCTCATTCCTTTGCCTCCCTCTCCATCTCATGGGAGCTCCACCATGGGTTCGTCCGACTCTGCAGCTCTGTCATTTGAGATTTTGGTTCGGATGTCAAAAATGATACATCTAATCTTCTAAAAGTGATACATCTCAAAAGTCATCACTATAATTTATCTTGCTTAAATCAGTTTAAAGTAAAATTGTGAATTTCTTAGGAGGACAGAAGGAGTATGATGCACAAACAGATAAACACAAGAATAGGAGATTAAATTGCTGAAAGGTGAGGGAGAACTACTTGAAGAGCAGGGAGCTCAGTTCACGATGGACCGCATCCTGGACATTCTTAGACTTTGATGGTTGCAGATATGCCACAAGCCCACAAATTTAGCCTCACATTGTTTCAGGGCATCCGTAGAACCCTCTTTGGCAATTTGTGCATCCAAATATTGTTTTCTTGAGTGAAATAGACTTCAGAAATCTCCCTCTCCATATATTATAATGCAGACTGCTTTGCCAATTTTCCAGTCAAAACTGCCAAGAAAAATACTAACACAGATAAAAAGTAGACCTTGAGCACCAAAGGTAAGCACTCTCATTGATTGCTGAAGTATCTGTCAATTGTTTTATAAATTACCCAAAGATTGGAGGGTTGAAAACAAATCATGCTCTCACTATATAATTTGAACTAAAGATGTCAACCTTTTTCACAGACACCAATCCAACAACTCTGCATAAAATTATGTATTGTTTCAATTCTTCACACATGCGTTTCAATCATTGCATCTTCGAAAACATGTACTGAAATATGATAGGAGTTGAAGTTGAAATAATGCTCCGTATGTACATAGACATGATTTTAGAAGATCCGCAGAGTAGCGTTTCGGATTTGGATATCTGAAATCTAAAAGTTAATTAATGATAAAAACATCTCAGATTGAGTTTCATGTCGGAGGAATTGAAACAACACAAAGAAAATGATTGAGAATCTGTGATAATAGGGAAGATGGAGCTTAGAAAAAAGAAATACCTGAATATGAAAATGGCAAATTGTCGATTTCCAGGAGGCCATAACAGAAAAAAGAAGATTGTTGAATTGACGGTCGAAAGACCTAGTTGGGCTTCAGTCCAGATTTAAGATTATAATTGAACCCCATATCTTAACTCACCCAATCCATATCGTTGCCTTCGTTGGTATTCATAGTCTCCACCATCTCCACTTTTCCTTTTTTATCCTCACCTCACATCTATTCGAGGGTATAGATTCTCATTCCATATTTTCATTCTTATTATTTTTTTGAATAAATTCTATATTTAGTCCCTAGTTTTATATCATTTTATATTTTTAGTCCCCAATTATCAAATTTGACAATAATAGTCCCCAATTATGTCTGGTCTTGACACCTATGGACCTCCGTCAGTTCAATCGCTATATCACCATTAAATATAGGATTATCAGCAGAAATCTGGAAGCTTTGCTCGTCCCTTCTTTGTCCGATTACTCGCCCCTCTTCTTTCATTATCAATGTTCATTGGGTAAGTGTTGTTTCAATTATGATAACAAATGGAAAGAATTATCCAGTTTGGGCCCCATAATTACTTGGAACATACATTGTAGATTGGATTTATCCAGTTTAGGATTACTTGTAAACAATTACTTGGAAGATTAGGATAATTTGCGAAAATTATTGTGCTAGCTATAACTGGAGGTGTATTGCCTTTTTAAAATAACACCAAAAAAAATTCAGATTTGAAGAGAGATTGGGACAGGTCGCAAAAAGATCGAAAAATCTCAATACTAAAATTACTCACCTTCGAGGTCGGCCATGAAGGTTAGGAGGATGAAAAAGAACACGTTGATCTCTTTCTTCTCTTCCGATTACGTGGGGAAGGAAAAAAATTAGGGTTCTTACCCGATGAGTGACAGACAAGCGGTGTTCATGGTGGCGTTTTTGTGGTCTATTCTGCGTTTTTTATATGGATTTAACGAGGAGATAACTGTTGGTTTGACGGGGGTCCATATGTGCCCAAGGCCAAACATAAATGGGGACTATTATTGTTAAATTTGATAACTGGGGACTAAATATGTAAAACGATACAAAACTAGAGACTAAATATGGAATTTACTCTATTTTTTTATAACATTTCATTTATTATTTTTATTTAAATAAATACATTAAATAAACTAATACATTAAATTAAAAACTGGTACCTAATTTAAAAAAATTACAAATGTAAATTATGAATTAAGAAAAAACGTGTTGAAATAATACAATAAAATATTATACTTCGTATTAAATAGAATTGATACATAAAAGTTAACACCCTACCCTAGCTGACCTCTACCCTCACCTTAGACCCACCTCATATTCCTTCCAAATATGTGGCTATTATGTCTTGCATATTAGCCATATATTTGGACGGGGTAAAAGTGGGTTAGGGGTGGGGTAATGGTGGGCTGTGTGGGGTTTATGAAGTTATGGGAGTGGAAAACATCAATTTTACGAACGAAGTACCAGATGTGCCTTAAAAGACAGTGACGGCAGTAGTGGCTTTGTAAGTCACTGGCTACGTAACCGTTGCGAAGAAAATAAAGGTTTAAAAATAAAGAGTTGAGTGAATATAATGTGTTTGCGAAGGGAAAGGGAAACAAGGATGAAAAATATCCAGGGCCGGCCTATTAGGGGGACAAAGTGTCTGTCCAGGCTGGGCCCAATAATTTTAGTGGCACCAAAATATTTTTTTGAGTATTATATATATGTGTATGAGAATTCCACTTTATTTAAGGCCCAGTCCACCAACTCCTTCACTTATTCTACACTTAGCCCAGTCTACCACTCCACCCCTCACCCGACAAAACAAAAAAAAATTGAAGAAAGCCGAAAGAAGAAAGGGATCGGAAGAGGCGAAGTTGCGAAGAGAGCTACTGTCGATAGCCAAAGAAAGGACGCCGGACGCCGCCTCCACCACCGAACGCCGACCTCCACGCCTCCACCCTTCAAGTATTCCATATTCAATTATTCATAGCTTTCCAATTTTGTAATTTTTATTTCTTAAATCTTAATTTTCTTTCATTGTTTCATTTTTTAAATTTAAAATCTAGGGTTAATTATTAGTTTTTAATTTGAAATCTTTTCTAATTTCATTCTTTGAAATAGAATGATTTAATGGTTCTATTTGTTACTCCGTATTTATTTGATTTGGATGAATTGATTTGAATTTGTTATTTATGATATATTTATATGAAAAAACTGAAAACCGAAAAAAATTGACGAATTGATATTAATTTATGATATATTTATTTATAAACTTGCTTTTTCAGTTTTTCATACTTGATTTTACTTAGTAGAATTTATGAATTTGGATTTTATAATTACGGTATGTAATTATAATACTATAATTTTGTCATTTATTTTTTTCTTCTAATAATATTGCGTTAATTATAATTTAAATATAATTAGTTTACATATGTGAATTTGTTACACCATTAAGGATACGACTTTTAGGGCCCTTTTTTTATTTTGGCCCAGACACATGAATCCTCAGGACCGACCCTGAAAATATCTACTTGTTTTCCTTCATTATTTCTCTTAAAATGGGAGGAAGGTTTAAATAGAAGGTAAAATAGATTTATTTTCCTTCCATCCTAAATTATCCAAACAAGAGAAGGGAAAATGATTTTATTTTCTCCTTCAAAAATTTTTACCCTTATTTTCATTCCTTCTTAAAAAACTATCCAAACATAGGGTTAAATTAATCTAACGATCAAATAACAAAAAAAAATCAAAGAAGAAAAAAGAAATGTAAGTCCATGACTTCGACATTAGTGTCCCTTCTACGCCGAATATGGAACGGGTGAGGGGCGGTGTTCCTGTAAGTGTTGAGTGCCGTGTGGCACGCCGAAACACTCCCCGATACCCACACCGTGCAACCTACGGAGTACTATTAATTACTATCTCCGTCCCAGAGTATTTGTCCACTTTCATTTTTACCCACCATCCAATACACTTCTTTAATCCATTTTATCTTGTAATTTATATATTAAAAAATTATAGAAATTATATATTAATAATCTATATGTTAAGACAACTCAAACAAGATCACACATGACTATATTTAGGCTTACACGTTCAGAGAATTTGATGAGTCAAAGTGCTTAGATGAACAGTTCCAAAAGTCAAAAGTGGACGGATACTCCGGGACGGAGGGAGTACTTCGTCCCATTGTTCAAACAAAGGTAACTTTAATTATAATCCCAAGCTTTGCACAAACGACAGGATGTAAACAATTGTTCCATGTATATCGGTTAAGTCAAACTAGTCATAATACCTAACAAAATTAAATAAACTGATCTTTATAACCAATTTTTTCGTAAGTGCATGACTCGGGAGCAATGTCAGTGTATTACATGTGTATTATTTTCTCGTGTCTATAAACATACAAATTCAAGGCTTCAAAAACATCGTTTAGATAAGTTACATTATAGTGACCAAGATGGCGTTCTCTTCAGCTTATTTCTGCTACTTGTTGTTTATTCTTATCATATTTAGATCAGTTCAGATTAGATTCAATCTGATCAGATCATATTCATTCACATCAGTTCATATCAGATCTATTCAGATCAGAAAACTATTTAAAAAATAAACAATATTAAACTAATACTAATAATTAATATAATAACAATAATAATTATTACCATTATTAATTAATAAATAATAATAATAATTAATAGTCATTTATAATAATAATAATAATAACTAAAATAATAATGATTAAATCCAGAACAATGATAATGATAATAAATTTTTTTGACGAAGGATAATTAATAATATTGATAATAACAATTCATAATAATATTTATTTTTAAATATAATAATAATAATTGATAATTTTCATCATTAATCATAACGCTTAATATTATTAATAATAATTATAATCTACAGTAATAAAAAATATAATAATTAAATTAATATGTAATTTGTACTTTTTCATTTGCTTGATCGACGAAGCAAGCGAATGAACAAAGTGAGCATCGAGGCGATGTAACCCTAGATCTGTGTGGTTGGGAAGATAAATACTCGGCGGTATGTTTCGTAGAATTTTGTTGTAGTTTTAAACACCTTGATTTATACTTTTTATTTCTTTAGTAATTTGTAAATAAAATTATTTTAAGAGATATTGAATTTTGCACGTTTTTCAAATTTCAAATGAAAAGAATAAATTGAGATATGGAGTATACTCCCTCCGTCCCACGATCATTTACACTTGTCACTGTCTAAAAATTACGAGAACTTTTATTTATTTGAATGTTTTTGTTTCTTATATTATCAAATAAGATACTCTTGTCACCTCTTATTTTGTAAAACTTTCGGTATGTACTTTATATTATGTGTATGTTTTATTATTTATTTTTACATCAATCTTTAAATAATAGAAATTGAAAAACTTAGAAATTTTATTTGAATAAAGTATGATTGGTTCATTGGTTTAGGAATAGGAGTATTGTAAAAACATGATTTTTAAAATCACGTTTCATGATGATTGTCTCTCGTTCATATTGATTCCCTCACTTTTAAATTAATCACAACTTAAATTTACTCTAATAATATTGGCATCAAATAAGTTTATAAAGATCATTTTATGACGGGGCGAGTACATAAAAAAATACTACCTCCATCCTAAAATGTTCATTCGTTTCTATTTACGAGATTTGATTGACTTTATTTTGAATTCAATTTATTTGATTATAAGTGTTAAATTAATAAATAAAATTTATATATTTAAAAACTTTATCAAAAATTCTACTAAACAAGAGGTGACAAAATTATGTTATTACATTAAATAACTAATAAAAATAGGTAAATGAAGTAATTAAAGTTTGATCACACATTTAGTTAGTAATTGGGAAGAATATTTTAGAATAGAAAAAGCACTACAAAGCTAAACTACAATTTGGTCATGATGAAGGCGTAGAAAAAAGAAGATGCGTGGGATTGAAAATGAGAATGTTTTCATATGAACATTTTCATCAAAGCCTACTTCGTCAAAGTAAAGGCTCTCCTCTTTAATCTAATGGTCTACCGGATTATTTTGTAACAAAGGATGTATTTCATCTCTTGTCATTTTGATTACAATTTTATTTTCTTTCTCTTCTCAATAATTTTTGTTTGTTTGTTTTTTCATTGATTATTTGATAAAATAAAATATTCTTGTCATCTCTTGTTTTGTAAAAGTTTTGATGTAGTTTTTTAACATATGGTTTTTATTTTTTATTGATGTACCAATTTGTAAATAAAATGATTTCAAAAATCATGAGATTTTACATCGTAATTCCCATTTTGTAATAAAAATAGGAACGGAAGGGGTATAAAATGCTCTTAGAGGGAAAAAAGAATGAAATTTCAATTTTGCACATATTTTTTAGCCTCTCATCATCCATTTAAAAAGGACAAAAATGTCTTTTTGTTTGATCACATTTCTATCTTCTCACGTTATCTCATCATCCAAACAATTACAGAGTATTATTTTACTTTCATTTTCTTTTCATTACTCACCATTTTCTTTCCTATTATTTTCTGTCCTCTCATTTTCTAAACTAGAGAAAAGTAATAGTTCCAAAAAAATAGTTACAAAGTTCACAAACTTATTATTTTTATTTAAAAACAATTTTGAAAAATGGTAAATTTTGAAGCAACTAAAAACAATTTTGAGCTGCAGAATGGTTAACTTTTTAGTTGTTTTTTAAGGTAAAATTTTTTTAGTTGGAAATAACTTTTTAATTGTTTTTTACGGTAAAAAGTTTATACCCCGTAGTAAATTTTGAGACTCTTGTTTGAAAATAATGTTAAATATTAATGTTAGTGTTTTGAAAAGACTATCTATGGACATTATTAGCATTTTTAAAGTAATTTACATTGTTAAAATTTTATCCAAAACATTAATACTAATTTCTAACGTTATTCCCAAGTATGCCGGTACTTTGTTACTTCGTACTTTTTATTGAAAACAAAAAGTTTTAATCTTTATAAAAAAAACTAATCTTTATATTCTCGTACTGTGTTGATGGAGTGAATTTATGTGTCTGTAGACCAGCAACTGTTGCCTCCCTTTTTCCAGTGTGTAATAGTACGAACGATTCCGCGTTGGCTTAAATTTTCTCTGCTCAATTTCTCGAAGTAAAAAAATAAAAAACTGAAAAAAAAGAAGAGAAAAGCATCCATCAGTCTGATCCCCTCCCACAGCTGCCTGCAAACGGAGTCAGCTATTGCACGTAGTGTAATCCGAAGAAGAATGAGATCACTTCCTCGTCCGGGTTTCAAGAAAACAGTGAAAAAGAAAACTCATCTGTACAGAAAATGCAGTGATTTCGAACAACTTTTGTTCGCAGCATTTTCTAGATTAGGCCTAATTGGATTTAAAAATTGGGTCTTTTTTTTCTTCTTTACTCCACCCCCCACCCAAACCCGATGATGGTGATGATGATGACGACCACACTCGATGAAAGGTCGGTTTCTTTTTTTCATTTTAATTTTAAAGAAAATTTCTCTGCATGATGAAAAAGAAAAGAGAAATAGTAGAAGCAATTGATGAAAAACTGAAAAGTCCGACCCACTCATGCTTTGGTCCGCGTGCTTCGGTGCAAGGATAACCCGACCCGTTTCTTCTTCCTCAATGTTTTTTTTTTCTTTCTGTTTTTTCACGAGTTTGCTGATAGATTCTTATTGGGGACCAGAGAAGCCCCACATAGAGCCCCTTTTTGCAGGGGGTGTTGTTTGTTTGTTCATTGGTCTTGGATCTTTTTGAGGGCATGCTCTCCCTGTCCAATCAGATCCTCTGAGGTGTTCTCTTTTGGCTCATTCTTGATACTCCACCCCCCTTTTTTTTTAATTTCTTTTTCTTTCTTCCAAGAATTAATAAGCAAACCAGTCAATGGGCAGTCTTGGAAAGGAAAGTTGTGACCCTTTTAATGGGGGGCTCTGGAGGTTGTTGAAGTAAGTAAAGGAAGAGTCTTTACGGTATGGGTTCTCATGGAGGGAATGCCACGCTTGTTGAGGAGATGAGACTGTTGAGGGAAATGCAGGATCACAATGGGGTGAAGAGGAAGAAGAAGCACTTGATGAATTCAGAGCTATGGCATGCATGTGCTGGCCCTTTGGCTGCTTTGCCTCAGGTTGGGAGCCTTGTATATTACTTCCCACAAGGCCACAGTGAGCAGGTTAGCAATGTCTTGTGATGATCTTTGTGAGTTTCAGTTGAAGATATGTTCTCTTTTTTGTTGCTATATATAGAAGTTTTTTTTCATTGAAACAGGTTGCAGCTTCCACTAATAGAACAGCAACTTCACAAATCCCTAATTACCCAAACCTCCCATCTCAGTTGCTGTGTCAAGTTCACAATGTCACACTCCATGTACACTCCTTTTCTACATAAATATATGTTTCATGTCTCTCTTTTGTCAAAATGCTTTGATCAATTGATTTTAACAAATGTGTTTTTTTCCCACTGATAGGCTGATAAAGAAACAGATGAGATCTATGCACAGATGAGCCTCCAACCTGTGAACTCTGTAAGCTTGGCTAGTTAATCCTGTAGTGCTATTATATTTCTAAATTTTGATGATATTTGATAGGAAATGAGTATTGAAAATTATCTGTTGCTTATAAAAAACCAGGAAAAGGATGTATTCCCAATTCCTGATTTTTGTTTGAAACCAAGTCAGCACCCCACCGAGTTCTTCTGCAAAACACTTACTGCTAGTGATACAAGCACGCATGGCGGTTTCTCTGTCCCAAGAAGAGCAGCTGAGAAACTGTTTCCTCCATTGGTAAGCTATTGAACCAGTGCAGACTTGTTCCTTTTGCTATGGATTTTTTTTAAAGTTTTCTTCTCATTTAGGATTACTCAATGCAACCTCCAACTCAAGAGCTTGTTGTCCGAGACCTGCATGATAATATGTGGACTTTTCGTCATATTTACCGCGGTAAACATGATTTTGACAATCATCCGTTCTCTTCTTTCATGGATGTCGTTCATAGGATTTGTGGGGATTTATGTTAGGTGTTGGGTTTCCTTGTTGTAAACATTTAGGACAGCCCAAAAGGCATCTTCTTACCACTGGTTGGAGCATGTTTATTGGCGCAAAGCGGCTTAGAGCTGGTGACTCTGTTCTGTTTATCAGGTAAGAGTGTTTCCTAGATTGAAACATCTCAACAAATTCATATGATTGTTATAAGAATGTGGTGTGTTTTATACGTCAAGGGATGAGAAATCTCAGCTATTGGTGGGAGTGAGGCGCGCTAATCGTCAGCAAACGACATTGCCATCATCAGTTCTGTCTGCAGATAGCATGCACATTGGTGTTCTTGCAGCTGCCGCCCATGCCGCTTCCAACAGAAGCCCTTTCACAGTCTTCTACAATCCTAGGTTTATTCAAGTGTTCAACCACACTCAATATCAATCCCCTTGAATGTAAAACTGTAAAAGCTTCAATCTTGACTCTTATTCTTGGTCTTGCTTGATATGCGCAGGGCCTGCCCTTCAAATTTTGTTATACCATTGGCCAAATACCGGAAGTCCTTGTACGGAACACACTTATCTACTGGTATGAGGTTTGGGATGATGTTTGAAACTGAGGAATCTGGAAAGCGCAGGTTAGTGTCTCACCTAAGTGTATTAATTCTTGGGTTCTTTTCCATTTCCTTTACCAAGAATCATTAATGTATTTATTTCTTGAAATGCTGTGTCTATTCCCTTTGCAGATATATGGGCACAATTATAGGTTTAAGTGATTTAGACCCTTTGAGATGGGCTGGTTCCAAGTGGCGTTGCCTTCAGGTGATTTTGTGATATTGCTATTATTATTAAATGACAGGAAAAGTTAATTACTGCCAGAAATTTACACTTGTGGTTGTGTTAGAACAGGTGGAGTGGGACGAGCCAGGATCGGCAAATAAACAGAATAGGGTGAGTCCTTGGGATGTAGAGACACCCGAAAGTATCTTCATTTTCCCTTCCCTAACATCTGGTCTCAAACGACCTCTTCAGCCTGCTTTTCTGGGTAATTGTGGTTCCTCTCCCTGCCTCCGCCTTCATTTTTTTTGAACTAACAAAAAAACCAACTAACGCTTTGATTTGAATCAGGTGGGACACAAACTGAATGGGACACTTTGGTTAATCGCCCTTTTATCCGTAGTTCTGAAAACATGTTTGGGGATACTCAGAGTTCGCTGTTCTCAAACACGTGGTCTGATCAAGTAGTGAAAGTTGTACAAAGGCCCCAAGAAACCACTGCTCAAGAAGACACTACTACTACTACCATGAAGCAGAAACCCAAGGAGGTAAATAGTATGGAAGATACATCATCCATACAGAGTGAATGTAAAACCACTAAAGTCAATGAACAGAAACATCCTGCTTTGCTTCAATGTGAAGTGACCAAATCAGAAACTATGGTGATCACACCAGATCAGTTGAGTCACTTTCAGTCTCTTGGGCAATGCAATGAAGAAAGATTGCCACCTTTAGCTCCCAATGATCAAGGAGGAGGAAGTCCATGGGCCCTACCGCCACAGTTTGATTCACAAATTCCTCAGATCGATCCGGTTTGCTTTCTTCAATGCCCTGGAGATGATAATAATAATAGGGAATGGAATTCGTATATGCCGCCCCCTGGTCAAGAACTGTGTTGGGATACTCAGCTGACTGAATACAGCTGCCTTAATTTTGACGGCAGTAACAGTGGGAGCGCAGTGATTGACCCTTCCGTTTCGAGTGCTGTTTTGGATGAACTCTGCACCTTGAGAAATGGTGAGTTCCAAAACCCAGTTGAGTATCTGGTGGGAAACTTCAGCACAAGTCAGGATGTGCAATCCCAGGTTACTTCAGCAAGTCTAGCAGCAGATTCTCAGAACTTTTCTATTCAAGACTTTGCTGATCACTCAGGTGGTGCCTCTTCAAGCAATGTTGAGTTTGATGAAAGTGGTCTTTTGCAAAACAGGTCATCTTCTTCATGGAAGCAAGTGGGACCCCCTCCCCCACGCGTTCGCACATACACCAAGGTAAAATTTCCTGCTTTTTTTTCAATTGTCACTAAGAGAAGCTCCTATTCCAATTAGGGAAAGAAATAAGTTCACATTATTGTCCCTAAGAATCTTTGTTGTTTCAATTGCTGACAGATTCAAAAGGCAGGATCAGTTGGAAGATCAATCGATGTCTCCAGTTTCCACAACTATTACGAACTGCGTTTGGAAATCGAAAGGATGTTTGGTCTGGAGGGGCTGCTAAATGACTCTAAAGGCCCCTCTGACTGGAAATTGGTCTATGTGGACTATGAGAATGACGTTCTTCTCGTTGGAGATGACCCCTGGGAGTAAGTTGTCCTAAACTTCCCTCCCCATTGATTTTCTTATCTTCTCTGCAAAAAAAAGAGCCTCTAAGAATGTTCTTCACTTTTTTGAACTTATGGTTTTATATATATTATGGCAGGGAATTTGTGGGTTGTGTGCGATGCATAAGAATACTTTCACCGTCTGAAGTTCAGCAGATGGGCGAGGAAGGGATGCAACTTCTTAGCGCCAACAACAACGCAATGCTGCAACGAGGAGAAGCTCTTCATGTCTCTTCACTCTGATCCTTTTGTTTAGGTTCCTAAATCTGTTCAATATTACCTATCAAACAAAAAGAAGAAAAAAATCAAAGATCAAGTTCTCACTTTTTTCTCCTCCTCACTTAGTTTGAACCATTGTTGGAATTGTCTTTTAGCTGTCAAATTTGTAGCTTTTTTTGGCCAATGCCAAATCTTTTGTAAGAATCATTATCCATTTCAAAGAATTCAAGAGGAGGCATTTTACTGTGTTTTTTCTTCATTTCCTCGTGTTCTTTTGACACTCAATCTGGTGGTCGTTTGAGTGTCCTCTCGTACTTCATTCAACCTCGAAATATTTCGTATCCCTAAACACGATATATAGAATATACTTTGTAAAACTTTTCAATGAATCTTCAACAACAAACGTATACAATGTATAGGAAAAGAATGGAACTTTGTATATGTGACAGAATATTACTGAGAGACCTGAGAATTGAAATCACTTTCTTCTTCATGCTATTAGAAGAAGTCAATCAATCTACCCTGACTGGTTTCTTCAGGATAGCAGACAGGTAAACCTCGGACTTGCCAGAACCGTTGATCTTCTCGCCGACAACCCACTTTAGCTTCTTGTACCCAAATCTCTCGACCAAGCGCGTCACCCCATTCTTCTTCCCATCACTGGAGCAAAAGAAATTGTCCAGCCAAACCAATCCGCCGGCCCTCAGAATCCGATCCAAGTCGAACATCAAGAACTCCAGTTTCTCCGGTCGGCCGCCCACGTCCAGCCCGCTGCCGGCACGAATCAGATCGAACACGTTATCGTGGAACGGGAACCGTTGATCCAAGCTGGAGTAGAGCGGGAAAAGTCCTCTGGAAGCGATGAAGTCGTTGAACGGTGCGTCCACGTTTAGGGTCGCGGTCACGACGGTCAAACCCCTCTCCGCCATTCTCGCGGCAAAAGTTCCGGACCCGCCTCCGATGTCGAACCCGACCCGGATTCCGCCTCCGCCCATTGCCAGCACCTCATCGATGGAGAAATCGTTCTTCCCCTTGGGTTTAACATACTTCTGGGTTTCGTACCCTTTGCTCAGATCAAAACATCCGCCGCAGTCCCTGTTCAGTTTCTTGGAATTCAAGCAAGAAAGGTTCTTGCAAGAAATACCAGTCCAAGTTAGAATCTTTTCGCTGGTGGCGTTCTTGTTCCAGGCCCAAAGAGAAGCAGGAAATGGTAGCAGGCCGGGTTTAGGGGTAATCTTGGAAAGACACCTTCTCCTGGGCAAAGGCTCGCAGCCCTTGAGAATCAGATTCTGCCCGAGATTCCAGTCGTCCTGGCAATGCCCGTTGACCTTGTAGCTCATAAAACGAGACAGCAAATCCGCCGATTTCCGGCAAGAATGCCCGACGGAAGCCAGCATTTCAGTTATCCCTGTTCTTGAATCCTTGCCCAGAGGCAGTGGGTGGGGGAGAAGAAAGGCTTTCAACTCACCCGACGAGACATTCGATCTGGAAAGATCGAAGCTTTCGTAGCCCAGGAGATCTCTCTCCATCTGCGCGAGCTTCTTCCGGGAGGAGTCGATCTCCGAGAGGATGACGGAGAGTTGCTCGGAGACGACGGAGATGTGATTCCGGTCAGCGGTGACGGCATTGGGGGAGTAGTAGTAAGTGAAAGCGAGGAGGGTGAAGATGTTGGTGGCGATGGCGGAGAAGATGATGAGGGCGGAGGAGGAGCAGAGGGAAGGGCGGCTTCTGAATCTTACAGTTCCGTTGCCGGTTTTGAGAGAGACGGCGCCCATCTTTCTTTTTGCAATCTCTCTCTCTCTCAAACCAGTAAATGAAACTCACTGTAATATGGAGGAATGTGTATTAATGGCGAATGAATGAATGAGTAAAAGTTGGAGATGATGAATTCATTTATTCATTGTCGGTGGATCCCGGGGAAGCGGCAGCCATCACTGCGCTAATTCAATTATTCTGAAAATTCCTTTTGGACTTCACTTGTTGGCGGTTGAATTTTGTTAAGGAGAACAATTTTATGATGTACTATTCTTGTTTTGTAGAGTTTTTGATATAGTTTTTAAATATAAATTTTTTATTATATAATTTTTTATCAATTTGTAAATAAAATTATTTTAAAAGTCACGGAGTTTTGCACATTGATCAAAATGGGTAAAACATTATGGTCCTTTATAATAAAGTGTCTTTCAAATTTAATACTCAACAAGTTTTAATTACCTACATGGTCTCCTATAATTGAGATTTATTTCCAAGATAGTCCTTCGTAAATAATGTTACTCAAATGACGATTAATTGGGAGATATTTTAGTATTTTGATCATCCAAATTTAAAGTATATTTTTAAAACTTTTATTTCTGTACAACTAAATGTAAAATTGAAAAACACATTAACTATAAATAATTCATAAATTATTTAAAACTTATAAAAAATCTTTTACATTTCAAATCAAATACACATATTTAATTAGAAAAAATCATTTTGGGAAAACACTTCATTATAAATGATTATTTTAAGAATTAATTTTAAATTTAGCAGATACAAAATACCAAAATATCCTCAATTAATCCTCATTTGACTAAAATTATTTACGAATAACCATCTTGGAAATAAATTTCAATTATAGAGTACCACGTAGGTAATTAAAACTTATTGAAGATCCATTTGAGAAAAAACTATTTTGAGAATATACTCATTAATTAATTTCACTTACGACTTTAACTTTTTGCCTTACTTTAAGCTAGAGTTTGGAAATCTGAAAATTGAAGTATTGAATTTATGTAAATAAAATATAATGTTAAAAAAACCGACTCATACTTTTATTTAATCTACTCTTCTCACGTAGGGAAGAGTACAATAAAACTCTATACCAAACCTCCCTTACACAAAAGGATTATCACATCAGCTCACGAAGGCATTGTGAGTTATAATTATGTGGAGTCAACTTAACAAGCTATCTCAAAAATCATAGAATTTCATTATCAAGCTACTACCATAAGAACAGAACACACACATTCGAAATACACAAATGCAATTAAGCTGAAAATTTAGATAGAGGAAGTAACTTATTCCTTAAGATTTTTAAATTAAAATCATTTCGCGACTTAGTGGCGATCCTACAAGATGCAGTCATTTAGTTTAAAAAGTCCCACAAGCAAGCACAGTTCAAAATGGCCATGTCCTCAAATGATCAAGAAAACAGACCATCTCACTTCAATACCCAAATTTCACCTCTTCGTAGGGCTATCGTCTTTACTGTTAGGAGTTGCCCAGATGAAAGACTCAAAGATGAGCAACTGCAATGGCTATCACTGCTTTTTCTCTTCTGCTTTTCGTGGCTGAATATGAATGCATTTAAAAAAAGACCATTATTATGAACATTAATAAGCAATGATACACTTAACAAGTTATGGTACTTTCTATACAACTGAAATTTACATAACTAAATTGAAAAGTGTTGAAATGAAGTGAAAGTTGGGGAATTCTGTTTGAATTGTTACTCAAAAGTGTTAATGGAATACTAGAAGTTTACAACTAAATAGAGTTAAAAAGTACTCCATTCTAAATGAACTGAAAATTAGTTGAAAAGAACAAACCCTTACTCACCAAGTCCTCTTAATATGTAAGAGACCAAATGCATTCATCAATGTTATTACCACACTGTTTGGAGATGGGAAGAATATATGCATACCTCAGTACGTCCAATGCTATTCGTGCAAGAAATGAATGAAGGTGTGGTGGGTAACTACTACCTTCATCCTAGAGTATTGGTTAGTATGCTTTTTCAAGTAAAAATGGACAAACTTTGATCTTCAACTAAATAAAAATTACTCCGGTATATTGTGTATTAGTACACAAATGATTTCATTAGATAAACATTTCAAAAAAAAACCCATTTCATCATATTGATATACTATGCAATTTGGATCTAATTGATTATTAGAGTTCATTTAGTTTGGCTTGAAAAAGTCAAACTGAATGAATTAGATCAAGAAACAAAGAAGAGTAACTGAATAAGTTAACGAACAGTGCATTAGCAATTAATTACACCATCTTATCATTGATAGAATGCGAAAAAAAGGAGTGATGGAAGCCAAGTTCAAACCAACAGGCACCATGTAATTAACCTTACCATAGTAAGCTACTCTGTACATCATTACAAGGGCCATAAATTTAACCCATAGGTATATAGTTTCTAGCATGTATAGTGTGCCCAAATTCTTAATTTTATCTCTAACACTTTGTTTGGTTCAAGAAATTTGGAAGGAAAACAAAAGAAAATGGTTTTCTTTCATTTTCCTCACCAAAATGAGAAGAATTTGGTTTTTCTATGTTGCTTTCTCATTTTTTTTCTTTCCACTTTTCTTTTCTTTTCTTCTCTAACCAAACATTAAAAACTGTTTTTCTCTCATTTTCTCTCCTTTTCCCTTTCAAATTCCTTAAACCAAACATTGTGTAATTGATTCATCTAAAAGAGAAAAAAATTCCTACAATGAGAGTGTTTTTACTTGGGCAACCACTGTAACCTGTACAACATGAAGCACCTATATCGACGGTTCTAACATATGTATGGCAATCTGAGAAAATAAATCTAGTGTCAATATTTCGCACACTACCTGTTTGACGAATTGCCTAGCATAGAGCAACAACACAAATAGTATATACTTTGTTCAGTAACATCAAGTACCATAAAAGCTGATAGAAACCAACCTTAATTCCGGTGAATGGTTCGTTGAGCTCATCGGCAGGGATGAGAACGGGCCACTTCTCACCAGCTTCGCGAAACATCTGCTCGGTCTCGAGATACTGGCCCTTCTCGAGAATCATGGTGCGAATGGTCTGGGCGGAGGTGGCGGTGGCGTCATAGGCTTGCTCGACGCCGTTGACGAACGTGACGGTGATCTGGGGAGGGTGGTCGTCGGTGCAGGGCTTCACCTGGATTTGGCAGGCGGAATTGGACTCCTTGGCCTTCGGAGCGTTGCACTGTGCTAGGAAGTCCATACATGAGGCGGTTCGCGGATCGAGCGCATTGAACTCGATCTTCACCTTCGATAGGAATTTCAACATCTTTTCTTTCTTGCTTCTTCCCCTACTTGAACGGCCGGAAAGAAGATTAAATCCCCATTAACGCAGAGTGTTGGGAAACAGAAGAAGGTTCCGGGTTTTGAATATAGTTGGGTTTGAATTGGGCCGGCGAGCCCAAAAAACCACTCGGTACATTTTTAATTACTGTTTTAACTAAGGGGCTGTTTGTTTCAGCCTCTTAATGGTTCAGATGTCTGAATGGTTCAGCACTTAATGGTTCAGACTGTTTGTTTCAGCCTCTTAATGGTTCAGATGTCTGAATGGTTAAGAGATTTGCCTCTGAATGGTTAAGTATTATACAGAGTCTGAATGGTTAAGACCTCTTATTTGAATTGATCAGACATTTGCCTCTGAATAGTTAAGCAATATACTAGCTCTTAATGGTTCAGACCTCTTACTGGTTCAGCACTTAATGGTTCAGACCTCTTACTGGTTCAGCACTTACCGATTCAGAAGTTGTCAAACAGCCCCTAAAACTAATCAAACAAGTAAAATACTCCTAAAAATATACTCACGTATAAAGGTTCCACATTCCTTTTCTGCCTATCCAAAAATAGATAAAGAACATACATTAAGAATGTTCAAACATTTCAAAAATAGATTAAAAACAACGTAATTTTATGTGAGATGGTCCGTAAACTTTTTGTAAATCTTAGTGCAGCAATGAAACATTTTACAGAGTAATATTTCCTGAATTAAATTGAATCTTATTTATTACACAAAAGGACATGATTGACACCCCCTCGGTTTCGAAAAACAAAGTGTTGGTTTGTAAATCCATAGTTAGAGAAGAAGGAGAAAATGTATGAATAGAGAAGAATATGATGAATATTGTGTGGTGTGTGTTGAGTTACTCCCTCCTACTCCGGGGAGGAAGAGTATAAATAAGGGTGAAATCAAGACTAGGGTTCAAGACTAATAGGCTAGCCCAACAGACTGGACTGCCTCTAAATAAGTAATTAATATACGACCAACGGGCTGGTCTAATAGACTGAGCCGCCTCGACTAATATTATACAAAGATCGAATACTCCATACTCAAGGTATTTATCACAGCAATAAAAAATAGCTTAAAAATAAGTGAAAAGGCATATTCCGTACTTATTTTTTTACTATAACTTAAACGGAGTAATTAAACTTATAAACTCGGAGAAATACATAATAGATTAATTTTTTTAAGTTAAAAACAATATATATGCAATTTTAATCAATTTATAAACACTGACAAACACTTAAATTATCTTACAAGTTTATTCTTTTTCAAAATAAATCTCAATTAGTTTTTTTACTCAACAACTTTTTTCTTAAGGGTATGTTTGGTGAAGAAATTAGATATGGGTTTCCATATCTTGGATATAGAGTTTCTGAAATTAATGTTTGGTGACTAAGAAAAGGGTTCCACCTTTGATATCGGGAGAATGGGAGATATTTGAATTCTGGGTAGAAGCAGCTTTTTGATATCCCCATCTTTGCAAATTATATCGTACAGCCGGCTGTACGGGAAGAACCGTACAACCGGCGGATAATAAGCTGTAGATGCAGACGATCGAAGAAGGCCGGCGAAGGAGAGGCGACGATAAAGGGAGGCGCGGGGAGGAGGCCAAAACGATGGAGAATGGCAGAACGAAGGCTATGGTGGCGGCGGCTTTACAGTAGAAACCCTAGGAACTGAAGTTGAAGAGATAGAAGATATCCGACTAAAGATCCGGCTTTACAGTAGAAACCCTAGCGATGAAGAAGCTGGTACTGAAATTTTCAAGAATTGAACAATACCTTATTTCAGAATAATACCTTATTTCAGAATAATCATTTCTTTATTTGAGAATGAATATTGTTTTTTTAAGAATGAACACTATGCTATTTATTATAATTATATTAGACAAATTTGTAAAAATGAGTACTTCTTTATTTTAAAATAAATACTACCTTTGTCAGAATGAGTACTACATATTTAGAAATTAATATTTATATTTGCACGAGAATGAGTACTACTTTATTTCAGAATGAGTACACCAAATGTACCTAGAAGTACCATATACCTTCTCCCCCATCTCAGTGCCGATTTTGAATTTCAAAGTGGAAGATTCATTTACATCCCTCTTTCAAGTCAATGTTTTGACGCAATAGGTACAAGGGCTTGCGGAGGCCTCCAATCTCGGCATTTCTGTCTCCGGCGGCGAAGGTGGAGAAGGAGGAAACAACTCTGTCTTCACCCGCAACAAAGAAAGAGGCGCACCGGCTCTGACATTAATTTTGTGCGGCAGGGGGGAGTATTCCGGTGGTGCCGTGGTGGTAGGCTGGTAGCTTTTTATTCTTCCGGATTTTAAAATCCATATCATATCTCTTAGATTTCAAAATTTATATCTTATTGTATCTCTAAAATTCACCAAACAGATCCTAAATACATTTCGTACGAAGGAATATGCACTTAGAGGGAGGGGAGGTGAATTACATGAATATATACATGAGAGAAAACCAAAGTATGACTAAAATATTGAAAATATACCAAAATAGAATTTTCATGTTTTTATTTTTGAAATAGAACTTAAAATGTATTTACGTTACCAAACATGGTCATGTACATTATCAAAAGATATAGTATTGTACATATGTACAGTTAGGGGTGTAAACGAATCGAATCGAAATGAATATCGATATATTTGAATTTGTATTTGTTTAATTTTTTCGAATACGAATCCGAATCCGAATATGAGACGAATTCAAAATAAGATTTGAATAAGTATTTGATTAATATTCGAATAGTTATCGAATCATAAACGAATATTTGAATAATCATACTATGTAATTTATATGATGGACCAACATAATTTGTAATTTAACTTACGATACTCTTTATACTATACTATATTCCGTATATAAAAACATTAATACATTTGCATCTTACACAAATTATATTTTATAAAATATACGGAGTAACTATTAAAAATTATATGCTTTAGATTTTCGTGTTACGTTAATTTATTGAATTCTTAGTATTTAAATACACTTTATACTATATTACTTTGTTTGACTTTTGATGTTGAAAACATGGTCTGTGTATATATACATATATTCGAATATTCGAATATCATCCGAATCGAATATATCCCTGTTTGTATTTGTATTTGATTAATATTCGAATCAAAAATAATATTTGAATTTGAATTTGTATTTGAATAACGCGAATTCGAATCATCATATTCGAATACGAATCGCGAATCGAATTTAAAATATTTGATTTGTTTACATCCATATGTACAGTGCTACATTACAATCATACCACAATGTGAAGTCCTATTTCAGGAAAAAAAATTTGAAAATCATATTTTGTAGTTTTCCTATGTTTTAGTAGGGTGATTTCTATATATACATTTCGTGAATTTTTCTTCAGTCGTTTTGTCGATTTGCCAGTGTTCCTCTCCGAAGGTGAATTGTCTGTCTCCCAATGCTGTGGAAATTCATCTGCGGAAATCAGTTGGCTAACTCCAAATTCTTCCGACATCCGTCCGCCCTAAACATAGCAAAACGCCAACTCTTCTCGCCGCCGGATTCCGAAAGCGCCGACACAGCTCCGCCCAACTTGTCCGGTGGTTCCACTCCGGAGGAATCTCTGGTAACGGGATGCGACTACAACCATTGGCTTGTTGTCATGGACCCGCCGGATGGGTACCCTCCCAGAGACCAGATTGTCCTTCGCTATGTCCAAACTCTCTCTCTAGCCATCGGAAGGTCCTTCCTTGATTTCTTTCTTCTTCTTTTTTTCAGGACAATACTTTTGATTTTTAGAGTGGGGGTAGGGGTTTAGGGAGGAGGATAGGTCGTAGGAACAATCAATTTTATGAACGGAACATCGTACCGTTCGTACCTCAAACCGAGTGTTGTACAATTGTTGTAATTTTTTTTGTAGCAACTTTAAGGCTCCCCAAATATAAATGCTACTTTTGAACCTTTTATGTTTTGCTATTTGAAAGTGTTAGTTATTTGTTTGAAATTGCAGGGAAGAAGAGGCAAGGAGAGCAATATACTCTGTTTCAACAAAGTATTACTATGCATTCAGTTGTAAAGTTCCAGAAGAGCTTATTCATACCATCCAATGTATTGCTCTCTCTCTCTCTCTCTCTCACACACACACACACACACATCACATGAATTGTTATGAGTGGGCCAATTTGTGACTCCAGTGTGTTGCAATCTGCAGCTTTGCCTGGTGTGAGATGGGTGTTGCCAGATTCTTACTTGCATCCCTATGAAGAAGGCTATGGAGGTCTGCTTTATATAGAATGCATCTTGTTCTCTTCTACTATTATTTGTTTGTGACATGTAGAACTCAGTTTGGTAAATACCCTGAAATGGATGATTATGGTGATATTCTCTCTGAAATCCAAGCAGGCACTTAGTCTCTACTTTAGTGTGTCCCAACTGAGGTTGTACTTTAGTGTCCTAAATGAGGCTATCAAGACATCATGCTTGTTGTGTTCCCGCAGGAGAGCCATTTGTCAACGGAGAGGTCGTTCCATATGACGATAAGTATCATAGGAGTTGGCTGTGTTGTGAAGATGATACCCCTAAGAAAACCCGCCGTAAAAGGAAGGGGAAGAACAAATTGCAGGCTGGAGTTTAGAGTTTCACCTATTCTTCTGTATTTCTACTGTCTTATTCTGTAACTGTGACTAAAGAAACAAGTGTCTGTGGATGTCTATGAAAAGGTATATGGTCCAATCTTTAAATAGGTTCTTGTCTGTCTTTCATTCTAATCTTGGTTACCATGAATAAGGATTTGCAGCATGAAATTACAGTTAAAGAAAATAAATCATACTAAGGGAGAGCAGTAAACATAAGATTTACAGAATTACAGACCACGGGATGACAGTAATATAAGCACATTACAGTAAAAATAAATTGGGGTACCTAACTTGACACAACAACATCCAAGAGGGAGTCATTACCTTCTCCATTAAACAACACATTTATTTATTTGATGGTTATGTAGCGGTTGGTTCCATGCTTCGCCCAGTGCTCCTTCAGGTCAACGGGGTTCGACAGATCGTGCCCCTCTGCGGCAAGCCGGCTGATCAGTTTATTAAACGCGCTCCCGCTCATCTTGCGGCCGCCGATCCGAGCGTGCCGTTTGTTCGGAACGGTCGGAAGAGGATACATTGACAGATTAGTAGTGCAGCAAGAGGACTGCCAACCACCATTGCCCCATTTGTAACAGGGTCTTAAATCTCCGGTACACGAACATACAGGGACTGGCATGATTGACTCATCAAAGGCAACCTGGTTCAGCCCCAGGTCCTGATCCTTCCAATCGGGCGGCTTTGACACAACCACCAGCTGTTGCCTGTTCAGCTCTCCACCTTCCTTCTTGGCTCTCTTTGATGGCTTTGAAGGCTTTTTACTCCCAGATGAAGTGGCGGCGGCGGCGGGTTTTGGCTCTTTGGCGCGTTTGTTCTGCCTCACCATCTTTGGAGGTGGCGGCGGCGGCGGCTCGGGTGCAGCCGGTGACATGGGCATGACTTCATTCATGTGTTGCATCATGATATCCCTTGAGTTGTTGTATGCGGCGGCGGCGGCTTCAACCATGTGTGGGTGGTGGTGGGCGTGTTTCATGGAGTTCTCATGATAGTGAAGAGTGGCGATGGCATTGTCGCGTTCCATTATGGCATTATTGCGTTCGGCGATGGCTGTGTCTCTTTGTAGGATGGCAGTGTCCCGTTCGGCCAAAGCGGCCTTCTTTTCAGAAAGGGCCAAGTTTCTCTCTTGTATGGCACCGTCTCTTTCGGCCATGATGGCCATTATCTGCTTCATCGTTGGGTGATGATGCTGTATCAGCCCCCACTGAAATAATGATGGAAGTTTAGCATTTTACTAACACACCCCTACTCAGCTTAAATGTTTGAATAGATAAAACATTACTCCGTATTTATTTGCTCTAAAGCCGATAACTGTTATTGACACATTTCATTGATGTGAAAAATGCTTGTTCACATCAATTTCAGCCAAAGAAGCAAGTTTAAATCTACTCTACTTATTCACTCCAAATCAATGAGTATGAAGTAATATGTAATGCAATAAAGACATTGAACAAGGTTGTAATGCAAGACTGAATTTTTTTTGAAAGGATAGGTGTTGGATAACATCAACAACAACTAGCTATATTTGTATATTAATGTTTTGTATTAACTTATACATGTTCAACTTGTTTGGAACACTTATTTAAAAGAAAATACTTAAATATAATGAGAAGTAGTTTGGCTTCTTTAATGAGGGGCTCTTGTTTTGGGATTTAATCTTTTGTTTTGGACAAAGGGAGTATATTTGATAAATGATTACACTAAATAAACGTTATTACGGAACAATAATCTACAATGTTATTACACTAAATTACGCTCTAATTTTCATCACCGTGAATGGATTACCTGACCCTGAGGCAGTTTGTGCCTGCCGTTTTCACGGTGCCCACCATCATCCATCTAAGACCAGCGCAGACTATAAATTATAAGCAATTCAGAGAATCATCAATGATGTGTGCAACCTCCGCAAGGGATGTATCCCTAGTCCAAACTCGGAGCCTGCCGCCCATTTTGCAATATGAAAAAGAATCCCAATTTCTGTGTTAGTGTAAATATAGTAAATGATTTTATATTATGATTAGAACATATGGTATATCCCAAAGTAGAGAAATTTGTAAACTAGAGTCTATTTCTTTCAATTTTCTTGCTAAACGAGGCAAAAAAGTAAATGAGTAATAACACAAGTAATAGAAAATAAATGAACAGACTATATAAGTAATAATCATATCAAACACTAGTTTAATACTCTCTCTATCCTAAAAAAAGGCTCTTGGTTTGACTTGACACAATATTTAAGGGAAGTGAAAATATGTAGTTAAAGTGATGCAGATGAGAGAGAAAGATTGTAAGCCACTAAAAGTTTTCCAAAAAAAAAGAAGAGGCTTTTTGGGATGTCCCAAAAAAGAAAATGAGTTTTTTTGGGGGGACGAAGGGAGTAAGCAACTTGCTTGCATGCAACCAACCCAAAAAAGAAGCCTTACCAAATGCTCCAAGCTTGGCACAACTCAATGTTGCATCAATGGGAAAACTGCCTCAAAGAAGTCTTTTTAACTAGAGAATAAGCATGATTAGATTAATACAAGACACCATAATCAGTTTAATACAATCATACTCCCTCCATTCTCTTTTAAGTGACCATCACAACTTTCTTGATATGTTAAAAATGAACGAATGTAGACATGGTGCATGTCTATATTCATTCAACTTTTGATGTATCACGGAAGTCATAATACTCACTTAAATATTAAAAAAAATGGAAGGAGTATATCTTAAAATGCAAAGACTAACAGTATGTTAGGGGGGGGGGGGGGTCAATTAAGGCAGGTAAGTAGAGATATGTATTTTGATTAATACTTCATAACAAGTTGTTTAGCTAGCTATGAGGGAAATGAAGGTAAGTTCCTATGAGGGAGTATAAAATGTTGTTTAAATGAGGCAAGCTAAGGCAAATAGTAATGACATTGTATGTTTGATAAGGTAACCTATTTCGGTTCTCATACGATTTGGATCGAGATAACAAAGGTCGGTGACTCTTAAACTCCCTTTCCATACCCCCTTCCAAAGACCCAAAGAATGAACTATACATTTCCTGAATGCAGAGTTAATCAAGAAAAATTAAACAACTAAGTAATTAACTACAAACTCAGCTGCGGGCAAAGCACCCGAATCATCTAAAAACAACACCAAAATCCCAAAATAGAAACAACCAAAAGCGAGCAGGGTTTCCAAATCAGGGCCTAAAATCAAATCATACAAGCTGGCGAATCAGAAGGCAAACAGAAAAACATGGATCTTCACCACAGCACACAGGCTCCCAGTCCCAAATCAAATCGAGCAAGCAAAAGTCGAAGACAGCTAAGAAATTGAAGCTGATTAACTAAATTACAAAAAATAAAAGAAAGTCAAAGGAAGCTGAAGAGGCCAGCCTGGTCTTAGGTGGGTGCAGGGCACCAAATGAGTCGAGGAAAAGAGTGGGTAAAGCAGGAATTGTGCACAGATCAAAGAGATGGAGAGTTGAGAGAGCTTACATAGTAGGGGGAATCGTGAGATACGGACCGACAAGAGGGGGGAATCGAAACCCTAGATCGGTGGAGAAGAAATATCTTATCTAATCTAATCTGAAAGACGAAAGAAGGAAGAAGAGCAGTTGAAAGAGGAAAAGAGGAGACCACTGAGGAGAGTACGTGAAAATCTCATTTCTTTTCTTTTCACTTCTTTTTTCTGAAGATTCTTTTTTTTTTCTTTTTTTTCTTATTTTCTTTTCTTTTTAACCCCTGTCAGCCGCTCAGTACTGCCACGCACACAGTCCCACTTCAGTATATTTCACTGTTTTCACTCCTACTTGTTTACTTGTAGTTAGTAGTTACTAGTCACCCCTTTGGTAAATGCATAACCGTAATTTTTTTTTATAAATTCTTCAAGTATCCTGTGCAAAATACGTAGTTACTAGTATTCACTATTCAGGTTTGATATCTCTTGATCTCAAAATATTTCCAAATGAGATGTTTTGATACTCGTATTTTTTTAAATTGAACATATCAATTCAGGGTTTTGATATCTAGCGAGCTCTCTCTACGTTGGTCATTGTCGCTGGCCACCCCACCCTCAACATGGGTTGCATGATGCTAACCACCAACCACCTGTTAGACTGTTTAGTGTGGTTGCCGTGTGGGGATTGGCATCGAAGTTACATTCGCTTTTAGAGCTCCAGACTGTGGTCAACTCTTATATTTATTGAGTATTACTCCATAGAAAAGAATGTGTAAATTATTAAAATTAACAATGTGCATCTCTCTTGTATGACTGTATGAATAACGTGTCTATTACTTTGTATAAAATATGTGCTCATTTATTTCAAATTTACCACCGTCTCAAAATTGATTTTAAGTTCGGAGTCAAAAGGCAAAAACCTATTTTTTTAAAATTTTTTAATTTAAAAATAAAATAAAACTTACATATTAAATCTCGATAAGACACTCTAGAAAAAACTAGAATAAAAGTAAAAATAACTACTCCACATAGTCAAAAAGGCCTATATAGCATAATAAGGTCAATCATTTGAGTGCATGTAGTTTAGGCTATTGTAAAAAACCTATCAATTTGTAATATGAACCTTCAATTATTTTAATCGGAACACCACAAGTGTTTGTGCAATAATATTGAAATCAGAGCAATATTATTAACTAGAGTAAAGTTTTTATTCTTTGTTTCTGATAGTATTATAAAGGATATAGAATAAAGTTTTAACAAAGCTTAAATTACATCATACTTAAAATTGGAAGCATCAGAGCAATATGAAAGCATATATTTAGAGAGGTCTTCATGTCCATGCACTCAAAATTAGAATTTGGAAGTACCATATTTTTTACTCTCCAGAGGACCCCCTCGCCATCGCCCCAAAGTCCTTCCTCTTCTTCACTCCCCATACTTTGTCTAGGGACATATCGTCTTTCCACCTCCTAATAAATCATCTGGTCTAAGTTCAGTATCAAACATTTTTCATCATGGCATACTATACCCAGATCGTCGAGTCACCTTTTATGATTATCGATGTGGTTATAAGTGTGACCGCACTTCTTTTAGTTATTTTATTTGTGTGGTGCAAGTGCTTCATGACTCATGGCCTTGAGAATTTTTTTTAGGAGGATATAAAAGTTTTGAAGGAACCAATGAAATGGTTCAGACTAATGTCATTGAATATTCGAGTGTTACAATTAAGTCACATGCAGACTCATGTCTTTGGAGGATAAAGTTCCCACAATGCTACCGTCGTATCTTCTGAAGAAGAGGCCATTAGCTTGGTGTCAGGTGAGAACGAAACAGCCGTGCACTACAAAACCAAATTCTATATTATATCAGCACAAGGGGAAAACTATTAGAGAGTAATTATTTATAATAAAAAAACCCCGAGGAAGGAACGCTTACACTATGTTTGGTTCAAGGAATTTGAGAGGGAAAAGAAAAGAAAATGAGAAGGAAAATATTTTTTCTTGTTTGGTTAGAAAGGAAAAGAAAAGAAAAGTGGAAGGAAAAGAAAAATAGAAGGCAAGATGTACTAAGGGGAAGGAAAACCAAATTCCTCCCATTTTGGTGAGGAAAATGAGGGAAAACCATTTTCTTTTCTTTTCCTACCAAATTCCTTGAACCAAACATAGTGTTAATGCCATACATACCAAGCCCTGATGATATTTCAGAACAGCCAAAGCATTTCCTTTGTGATAATCGTATACCCTAACTCTGTCACCAAAACATAGGAAAAAAACCAACACATTTGTATGAGTTTTAATAGGAGACGAATTTCATGACCAACAGACTTGTTTGATTAATACATATCAAGATTCAGCAGGGCATACCGGTGATCCCAACCGGCAGTGGCAGCAATTTTGCCATCTGGACGTATTGAGGCTCCAGCTATGCCTGGTCGCTCCAAAGAAATTTTCTTCTTGACTAAACAAGTACCCTATTGCAAGGCCAAAAAAGGGTATATAAGAATAACATAAAAGTCGAAATATTGATTTCCCACCGCCAAAACATTTTAACCTTTCGTTGGGATTTCGGCAATAACAGTAGTTTTTTATAAAAATTGAGAAGCACCGTTGGATGATCCAGTGTGAAGATCATAATGTTCTCATCGGCAGCTCCAGAAATCCCCCCTTTGCATGATCCGTCAATAGATATGGTTAGAACTGCATCCAAAGATTCATTTTTTTGTTGCTAATACGTCAAATGGAAATTAAGAAAGAGGAATTAAAAGATGTTTATAGCAAGTGCTATGTGTTTCCTAGCATGATGCACCTGGTTCAGAATGAAATTTTACAGAAGTCAGGGGGACACCAGGATTCCTCAAATCCCACCAAAGCATGGATCCATCCTCATAGCTGTAGTAGAGCGTCATATGCAGGAAAAGTCTTACAGTAAGAAAATGTTCTTAATCATAGTGTTGAAGCTTAATAGAGTTGAAGATCTAAAGCAATTACTTTGATCAAGTTCAATTAATAAACACTGTCTTTTAGACGTCAAGAAGGAAAAGAGTTTGTTGAAGCTGATTTTCCAGAAAGGAAGCATTACCCAGATAAAACATTAAGGAACCCCTGAGATTCAGGGGATAAAAATGATTGAACTGCCATGCACAATCCTGTTGAAAAATGGTACGATATTAGTCAATAAATACACATTTTAAAGAAAAAAGAGAATAAAAAAGTGAAAAGGAAGCAAATGGTATCTGACTATTCTAGCTGAGGAGTGAGGACAGCAAAAAGAGTTAAAGGTACAGTGTTGTATGTGTCATTATTCACCTTACAATCTTATAGCATACGATCAATTCAAAGAGCAATTAACTTTTAAAAAAGCTAGATAACAAGAGCAGTTAGAAATTGGTTTATGTATTATAGGACTTAGTTATACACAATTTGACTACTTATTTCTACCTGCATGTTGAAATCACAAGACATGAATGACTTGAGATGGTTACTAGTTACTACAGTCCTATTGCATTACAAGATTGTTATTGAAAATCATCAAGCAAATCAACAAGTGATTTCAAAATTGTCGGCAGCAATAGAAATCGACTAGAGAAATAGGAGAGGGAGTGTCTGCAGTTATTGAAAGGGTCTAAGAGCTTAAAAAGATAAATAGAAGCACACCTCTTGACTTTGGAGAGTGATCCAAGGAAGCACCAGAGCTCTGAGGCAACTCTGTAATTCTCTTTGCATTATTGAGATCCCAAATCTCAACCTTTGCATCACAACAGTTTAGTAATTATGTCAGTTGCACAATCATAGAAACACCATGGGAAATTATAGTACCAGTGATAGAAGAGAAATTGTTAAGCCCACCTTATGTGATAATTGCTCTGCTATGGCAAAGTATCCCCGTCCGGCAAAATACCCACAATCTGTAGGCATAAATAAGCAGTCAGGAATTATAAGCATGTAGACCCAATGCACAAATTAACATGCAAAGTGAGTATTGCTAGATTTAGTAGATAAATATTTTTCAATGCGAACTTCTATCATGCAATACTCTGTGACATGTTCCAAGGTCAAACCAAAATGATGGCAGTAATCAATCGAGTTAATCAGTTATGTTTGATGTGATGCCCTGATGGTCTAAATATACTTTTCTTCACATGACCATTCTAAAAACCTTCTATTACACACCTGCTTTCTGCACTTTAATTGCTTGTTCTATATTTTTAGGAAAGGAACATGTGGCTAAAACATTTACCCTTCTCTCAATTCCTTTTTAGGAAAGGAACATGTGGCTAAAACATTTCTCTCTTCTGAACAAATTCCAACAACTTGTTTTATACTGTAGAACATTTTTTAAAACTTCGTGAAGCCAACCTGTAAATTTCATTTCGAGACAAAATGAATCTAAATGAATAGATCCTAGATGAGGTCCATGAGGACACCATGCTTGATTAACGTAGGAGACTACTTTCACTACCACCATGATGTAATTTGGCAACACATGGTGTTTGGAGATTTGGAAAGAATAGATAAAATTTCAAAGGGATAACTCTCGAAAGTCTAATAGAGACAAAACATGTAAGGCAGAGAACAAGCCTTCGAGTTTGTGAGAATGTACTTTATCTTCATCAATCCCCTTCTTATCATCAACATTCTCCATGCTCCCTGTGTCTTGGTTAATATATGGAGCTCCACTTGGCACCTTTACTAGAGATAGCTTACAAAAGTGGTGAGAGTTTGTATTTGCTGTAATTAAAGGAGTCCTGTTGAGAATGAAAACTTAAATTGAGATGATATACAATATAGTTGATATAAAACATCATTATAAGAACATCCAAAGTTGGATTGGCACCAAAGGGAGAGGGAGGTAGTGAGTTCGAGGACAAGCAGTATTATAATAATTGGCATAGGCCCTTCTATGCACTAGACATCCCTAGGCTAAAGAGAAAAACATAAAACTGATCGTATCAATTGTTATGCAGGCTAATGGAATTAAATTGGTTCTAGTCACTCCAAAGTGTTATTCTTATTGTGATAAAGAGTACAGGTAATGATATACTAAATCATAACAATAAACTTCTTTTGCTACTTACTTTTTATGAAGTTTGGGCAATAAAACCACCAGAGGTGGGGTAAGGACAGAGGAACCCTTACCGATTTATTAAAGATAGGGACAGAAGTACAAATGGGAATTATGGGAGGACATAGGCCAAGTCCCTAGGAAAGAGATACATAGGGGTAACTAATAGCGTCAAACTTGAGAATACTAGCAAGGGACATTGAAAATCTATTTTGATAAAAAAAGAGATGGATTTGGGCGACAACTTGTCATATGTGATCTGCTCCACTGCAGTGTTGCAACCTGCTTTAGATAATTTCACGTATATCGGCCCCACAGAAGAAGTTTCTTATGTTGTTGGAAATACTAGAAAAGCATGGGTGGATATTGTCTCGGCCCAGGCAGAGCATGTAGAGTGTCTTGTTTTCCGTCTCAAAGATGAGGTGTTCAAAAACTTCAAACTCCCTACAGACCCGAGTTGAGAAAACTATAGTTGTGAGGAGAAGCAGCAATGCATAAAGGGTCTTACAGAAGCAATATTCTCTCGGTTTTATGTGGTAAGGACTGTTATGTATGGGGCCCATGATACCATACAACCACAGACCATAAAATAACAAGCACTACCCTTATAATTGTTTCTACACCTCATTCATGACCAACACTCCATGAAAGGCCATATTTTCTAACCATGGCTGAGATTACCCTTTGATGTTTACCCTCAGTATGTTTTTTCCTTTACAAATAAACCTTTGGACATTCCTAATTATGACCAAATTCTTGCACTCTTATATTGGTTTTGTTATTGTATTGTGATAATAAATATACACTGGTATAGGATTAAAACACAGTTGTGATTCTTATTGTTGTATTATGATAATGATTGTAAACATTTTATATGTATTTATTTTGTTTTAGCATAATACTATTCATCGTTAGCCTTTCTACCTTCTACAGGTAGGGGAAAGGTATGCATACACTAATGACTCACCCTCAGATTCCACTTGTGGGACTACACTTGTAGGTTGTTGTTGTATTGGAAATGAAGCTTAAAGAGACGTTATTGAAAATTCTTTAGCTTCGGGCTTCGGGCAAATAGTTGACTAACTCAAAATGACACTTGACACATTTAATTTCCATTGTTCCTTACTTTTTATGACGTTTTGGATAGTAAATGCACCAGGAGTTTAACACTAAATTTTTAAACGGTAAGGTTCCGTACATCTTGACCCCCCCCCATGATAGACAAAATTATAGGGGAAGTGGTAGGCTATGAGAAGCGCCAAGCACGTAACAAATGATCACTCATCATTAAACAACTAAAATCCATGTACCTAACCTGATAATTTTACTGTCGCCAATGAGAGAACTAGCTGCAACACAAGTTATCCCGTGGGGAGCACTATATACCCTGCAGTTCATGTACGTAGTTACTAACATTTGTTCATAATCCATAACCTTAAGCAGCGCCAAACGTTTGTGGGACTGAACCTATGCAACATTGATATAACACAAGTTTACTGAAACTGCTCCTAGATGCAGGTTCAGATAAAAGATAACATATCTCCAAAAACCTAATTGATAAAATTTCAGTGAAGTTTGTCTTTGCTACTGCTGACAAAATATGTTTGGAATTAAAGAGTCATATGCACAAATAGTCCGTGTGGTCTTTCATAAATAGGTAAACAGTTCCTGTACTTTTAAAAGTTGCAAAATAGTCCATGTGGTCAAAGAATTGATGCATAATTAGTCTCTTGTTTCAAGGATAACATAAACCGCAGAAAACATAGGTGTATTGTGTGAAAATGTGAAGCATGTAACAAAAAAAGAAGTTAATCTCATGAAATTGCCCTCGTCTTCGTGGCTAGAGGCAAGGAATGGTCCTTTTCTAGCTCTTTTCTCGCACGATATTACCTTAGATTAAAGCTACTTGAAAAATAGAATAATGTCAAGCTCACATAGGACATTGTATTATGATTCAAGAAAATCATTATAGAAGAGACGGAGAATTCATTGTAGGAGTTAAACTAAAAGATGAAAGATATTGTACTATGGTTCAAAATTACACATCACAACTAAAATTTCAGATTAGCTTTTTTAACTCTTACATGATTGTCATATTTGCATAATACGCACGCATTGTGTACATTTTACGAATTTTCTAATATAGGGACTAAATATGCTATGGTTGTTTGACCACAGGGACTATTTGACAACTTTTGAAAGTTTGAGGACTATTTACCCAAGAAACACCACAGGGACTATATATGCATATAACTCGGAAAGAAATAATCTTTCACTAAGTCAGCCCCATTGACCCTCATCTCTTTTGTTTCCACAAGCTTTCAGAGCTACCACCTAACAAAATTGCTTAATAAGTGTGGACAAGCATGATCAAGATATAGAGGAAGAAAATGGTACCATGCTGATGAAATTGTTCTGTGCTTCACTGTATTCCAAATGCGCAATTCACCATCAGCAGAACTGCAAGAATGACCAAATAAAACAGCATCAAATTCTCAATTCCCCAAAACACCTTCCCCTCAGAGTACTGATGGATAAGCCAGTTATTACCCTGTGAACAATAGGCTTTCTGATGGATGAAAACAAACATCTGTAACTGAAGCACGGTGTCCCCTGAGAACTGACACTGGGTCTGGCGGCGGCGGCCTCTTGCTCATTTCGATTCTTCTGTAATTGAAGCATTACATCGGACAATTAGTCTGCATATTTCATCATTTGAGTGGCTTTGAGAATATCAAAGTCGAATGCATCTCTTTTTTCCCATACCCCTCTCCGATTCTTCGCCGGTTGTCGGTGGAGAGAAGTGCTTCGCCGGTCCTCCTTCCTCGGATGTCTCGTCGCCGTTCCTCCCTTCAGAAGCGAGCTGACGTCTCCAACCTCCCCAGGCGGGGCCGGGATTCATCCATTTTTATTTACTCCGGTCTACGGTATTTATTTCAGGGAGCAGTATATATTCACAAAAAAAAGTACTGTACATTAGTACAAAATACTCCGTATATACCTTCATCTCATAATTGGATGCCTGGTCTATTATTCAAAATTTACCATAATTTTATTATTTATTTGATAAATTGAATTATTGTTGTCATTTCTTATTTTCTAGACTTTTTGAAATTCTTCTTAAGTGTATAAATTACACGATATATATATATACTCCGTGTGTGTGTGTATATATATATATTCATTTAAAAACTATGAATAGATAATTCTCATTACGTTTATTAAGCTTGTTCACGTTTAGATTCGGACCAAAAAACAAACCAAACTAAACCGTTAAGTTCAGACCAAACTCAAACCAAATAGATTTCAGCTTGATCTTTGATTCGAAATTTTAGGATATTATGTTTTGGTCTGGTCTAATCAAAACCTAAAATAATTCACTACAAGATTTAATTCAAATTGCGACGAAATTTATTTGACAGTTTTAATCCGTCACAAATTGCAACGGTTTTTGCGACGAAAATAAGAACATATCAAAATTGGTAAAATCTGCGACGGACACATACATTCCGTCGCAGCGTTGCGACGGTACATGTGTTCTGTCGCAAATAGTTGACCGTCAACTTTTTAATCGATTGCCTGCGAGTGAATCTGTGACGGGCTAACTTCCGTCGCAGGTTTAAAATATAACTTTATCTCTTGTTCAGTCGGGCTCACTTCGTCTCTGAACCAGGCGCCTCATTTCGACGCAACGCACAGGTCTCCCATCGTCGTCCTCCGCCCTCCACCGCCGAGCTTCGAATCGCTGCCGCCGAACATCGTCCGCCGTCCTAGTTCACTGGTTTACTGGTCGAACCAGTGGTTCAACTGGTCGAACCGGTGATTTAAGCATTTTTAAAATTATATATATATATATATATATATGTATATATATATATATATATATATATATATATATATAGACACACTCTCTCTCTTATTTATAAATACTTAGAGTATATAATGTATAACATTTGACCAAATCTATATTAATTTACTTCAGTTATGTCACTAAGTTTAACAATAAAACTTTCATATTTAAAAAACAATATTAAACATTTTATAAACAAAGAGTTGATTTTATTTTTTTTCAAATAAATTATCTAATATTAAAAATACTGAAATGAAATCTTTGCATAATATTTGTAATTGTATCAATTATATCAATAATTCTGAGTTTGAATCATAGCTATAATATTATATTTTTTAAAGTTCTTAAAATGAAAAGAAATCTTTAAACATTTTTTAATAATGTAATATTAAAAATTATTAAAGTGAACTTATAACACAAAGACACTTTGGCTGAGATGGTTAGGGATTTAACTTTGGTAGCAAGAGGTCTTGGTTTTGAACCCTTGCAGGGTGAGATTTTTGGGCGAAAAAATCGCAAAAAAAAAAACTGGTCCAAGGTGCGGTCCAAGGTGCCGGACTGGATCGGATGGGCCACCGGTTCGCCGGTTCACGGTCCGAACCGGCCGGTCCGGTCTGGTTTTTAAAATTATGGCGACGGATTGAAACTTCCGTCGCAAATATCTAAAATGCGACAATTTTTTTTTGCGACAGATTAATTCTGTCGTCGACCAGTCGCAATTCCGAACTTTGCGACCAAAACAAAGGATTTGCGACAGAAATTTTCCGTCGCAGATTGCGCGAAATTTTGTAGTGATTTAGGTCTAGACTTATTGGATCGACTGGACTCAATAAATCTGTTAGACCTAAAAGACTTAAATAATAAGACTATGCTTTTTATGTTCGGTATTATACATTGATATTTTATTTTGGTAAATATCTCAATTTATTCAATTATCAAGGTTTTTGTATTAAATAATTTTTTTCTAACATTTCAGAAAAATATTTCATATTAATTTGTATGATTATACATGGAAGTAATCCGTGTTTTGTAACTATTTTCAGTTTATCCATTTTATTTTATTTTTTCTTATTTGCACTACATAAATTATTAGGTCTAAAATAAAATTAATGGATCAAAATAATTATGAATAGCCCTCACGTACATAAGAAGATACATTTACCGTTGAAAGGAATACTAAAATAAAAGCAAGCGTATTAAGAAACAAAAAAAACATTCATATATTTATCCAAAAATTAAAATTTAATATGTTAATATTGTCAACATATAATACCAAAAAAATATTACAAAATGATAATATACAGTGTCACATTGTTGCAATGTAAAATTTTATTTTGAAGATAAACTTTGAAACTCTTATTTTAATTTGGGAATTAAGAGTATGTTTTACTCGTAATTTGCGTGATTTATTATTAACTTTTCGTACACAATGTGTGAAGTGAAAGTCATATGTTAAAGTGAGAATTCATTCATACATTAATAATGTCATTTTTTATAAGTGTCCCACATAAATTGCTTTAATTGATTTTTTTTCAATAATAAGCAAGTTTTAGCTTAACTAAAATACATAATACTAAAATTAAGTTTAATTATGCGACTAATGCGTCAAACTTTAATAAAAATTAAGAATATAATCTATTCAAGTTATTCTTGTTTGATTAAAAATATTTTAAATATAAATTAAATTAAATTAAATTAATCAAACCTTTAAAATCAAGGAATCCTGTCCTAATAGAACTTGTAGTAGGAGATCGTGTTTTTTATTTATTTGTCAGATTCCCCCAAACAAAAAACGTATTTCACTCGAAGGACCGGATGAAATCTTGTGTGAGTTGCGTCCCTGCGCTAAATTGCTAATCACCCCGATAGTTTTCTGTCTTTCACAATATAACCCCAAAAAATCACAGCAATTAGCTAAGGCTGCAAAGTGGAAGGCTGAAAAAGCCGTCGTCCTCAACTTCCCCAGGCTTTTTTGTTGAATTGGGCGCCGAGCTTCGCACGCTCTATACATGAAAGAGCTCTCTTAGTACTGTCACCGTCGTTTTCCAGAGCTCCAAGAAACAAGTTGGGTATTCTTTCTCCGCTCAATTCATATTATATTCCAAGCCCTAGTTTTTTTTGTTAATTTGTATTCTTGTTTCCTGGTAATGTGGGATTGAATGTCGGTTTTGTTGTGCGGCAGTATAATTTGCAGGCCAGCTTGAGGATTTTTGAGATTTCTGAGGTATATAGGTGGATGTTGTTGTTATGCATAGATGTGAATGGCGTGCTTATAATGAGAGGGTGAATTGTAATGTTGATTTTATCCATAGTAAGCGGCTGAATGATGTTATTGAGGAGACCTCTCTGATAGAGAGCTGTATTTGAGTAGACTTGATTTGAAACCCTAGGAAGGATGGGGGAGCAAGGCAATGTGGGTACTGCTTGTGCTAAGCCCAAACCAGAGGTTTCGGATATGGAATTTGATTCGGCAGATGATGAGCCCATCAGGTCTCTCTTTAAGTTGAAAGGCAAGAAGTATAAAAGCAGAGTGGGAATAGGTGGTGGTGGGGATAAAGTTACAGGGGCACAGGTTGTGACGAAGAAACAGGCAGTCAAGGACGATGATTTGGCCGGTATGGATGATACGTTAGCTAGTTATTGTAAAAAGTTGAAAGGTCAAAGGAAGGATGCTGGATCGGTGCATGCAGGGACAGGAAAAGCTTTCAGTGGTACGAAGTTAATGAGTCACTCCCCCGTTGTTTCCATGAAGAATGAATATTTGATTACAGAAATATCATCAAAGATCGGGGATAAAGGACAGAAGGATGAACATGTTCTACATGATGAATCAATTAATAAAGGGTCTGAAAAAAAGGGTAAGCGGAAAAACAAGAGGCCTCATGTTGCTTCTGCTCCAGAGAGAGTTGGTTCTCAATTTGGATATGATAACATTTCGGTTGTTGAGAGATCTATGAAAAAAGACGTGGGAAATACTTCTTGTTCAGATGATATTGTAGAAGATTCATTGTCTGCTTTCTTGCAAAAGTCTGAATTATCAAAGAAATTCCGCAGTTCTTCATATTTGAAACCAGGTAAGGTAGCTGATTCATCTGCAGATAATGTCAGCACTAGTAGCATCTCTGAGGATATCCTGTCCATGCCAGTAATAACATTAAAACATTTTGTGGAGAAAAATCGTGGATGTGCTGGTGGTGGTTCTTCAGATATTTTCTCAAAGAGTGATTGTGCTTTGATCCATGGTGCAAAACTTCAAGATGATGCCTTAGATGATCTTTCTTTTAGATCAGTTTCAGAAAATCCAATTCCTGATGCAGTAGCTAAAATACCTGAACTCGGATTGAAGGCATGTACTGAAAAGGCCCATGGCGTTCATGGTGCAAAACTTCAAAACGATGCCTTAAATGGTCTTTCTTCTAGAGCAGTTTTAGAAAATCCATTTCCTGTTTCAATAGATAAAGAACCCGAACTTGGGTTGCAGGCATGCACTGACAAGGTCCAAAGTGTCCGATGTGACGAAGTTGGTTACATGACTTCTTGTAATCAAGACAGTGTCGCAGGGGAGACCCATAATATGATGGAGCATTCCCCCATTACTTGTCAAGGGCCTGGTTCCGAGGATAGATCTAAGGACCTCCCCAACAGCAAATCCAATGCCTCTGAAAACAAAGAGATGATTGAGGGCACTTCTGCATCAAAATGGTGTTCTGACATCAATTTTGACACGGGTAGTGTTCATGTACCAATTACGGATGACAATGACCAGTTTCATATTTTGAAATTGGATACACAGTCTTTTTCTTGTATCAAGGAGTTGAATGAACATGCTGAAGTTACATTGGAGAGAAGCACTAGAAATGTCATCGGTGAAACTTCATCGCATTCAAAAAGCAATATACCGGGCTCCTTAACAATCAATGATTATGCGGATACAGCTCTGCAAAAAGATGTCAGACTTGAATCTGAGAAAAGTAAAAAAGAAAGTGGGCATTTTCAAGTTCAATCATTGGGTTCTGTTGATTCCACCTATAACCAAGTTACTGATGGGATTTGCGATTCAGTACAAGATACTACTGATTGTGCAAATGAGCCACTTGCCCCCCTTTCTTCAGGCAATAAAGATGCTTCATTGTATGGTGAAATGAAGCGTGAAGACGGTCATGAATCTTTTGCTAATTCCAAAGAAGCAGTTCTCAAATATACTGTCACTACAACAGAAACGTGCAATTCTGCTAGTAATCCCATCCAATTGTTCGATGAGATGGGAAGAGGGACATTTTCCCGAAGTCCTGATTTTCAAGCTGGAGATGAAGTGTATAATCGGTCCACTTCACCTTCGTATATGCCAGGAAAGGATGAGGTAGACACCGATTCTATGCCTGATGAAAGTAAGGATGAAAGGCTGTTTGGTCGTCAACGTGCTACAAGAAACCCAAAAAAGCGTAGACATGGTGACATGGCCTATGAGGGGGATGTTGACTGGGAGATTCTGGTCCGTGGGCAAGAATTTTTTATCGGTCATCAAAATGGTGATGTTGGGCTAACCAAACAAAAGGAAAAGCCCGATCCTTCTTCATTGACAGTTCTGGATGCTGAAAATGGAGGGGCTGCAGCTGTCTCTGTTGGTCTAAAAGCTCGTGCGGTTGGTCCATTTGAAAAGATAAAATTTAAGGATGTACTAAAGCGCAAAGGCGGGGTTCAAGAGTATCTAAAATGCAGGTAGAGATAGTTTTTTGTTTTTTCAACATAATCTAACCATGCTTCTTCAAAATATAGGGTCATTTCGCTTTTGCGAGCAAGATTTACTTTTGCTCCCTTTGAAATGGTGATCTGGATACTGTTTTCTTTTTAAATCTTTAGTGCATGTGTTTTTCTTTTTTATGATGTATGTCTCTAATTTCACATACTCTCATATTTGCATGCTGAATATTGTTACAAAGTTATGATTTCAGAAGTAGCCTGATTTTAGAATCTTCTTGATGCTGCTGACATGAAAAAGTTATTCAATGTTATTGATTAGAATATTCTTAATTTTTGAAGTAATCTAGGTTTATATATTTCTAAATGCTTTTAACACTTGATTTGCAAGACGAATATATTACGTGCCAACCAAAAATTTCTAACAATGGTTTATGGTTGAAAATACTCTTTTTTGATGAACTAATGCATATAGTTCTGTTTCATCTTTGTAAATTCTCTTTTTTCCACTAATGTACTCTTGTTTGCAGCTGTTCTTGTCACTTAAATAACTATGCTTTGTGGGTGCAGGAACCATATTTTGAGCCTTTGGAACAACGATATTACTCGCATTTTACCTCTTTCAGAGTGTGGATTGTGTGATATCGATTTGGTTGATGCATCACCCTTTGCTTCATTAGTCAGGGATGTTTATACATTTCTTGATCAATGTGTAAGTTTGTATTGCATGCTTCTTACAATGCCCAGTAGACAAACTTCCTTTTTGTTTTATCTGGTTCGTAAAAAATTGCCAATTACGGTTGTGTTGTTTTTGAAATCTTTAATCACTTATGAACAGGGTTATATAAATTTTGGCATTGCTTCCCGAAAGGATATATCTGAAGATGTCCACGAGCACAACTTGAAAATATTAAAAGAAGAAAAGTTTACAGAAAAATCTGGAGTTTCCGTTGCTGAGTCAGATGATGGAGTTTCTTTTATCATGGGCCAGTCTAGGAGTTCCGAAATGGTTGCTATACGGAGTGATGTTATTTCTAACAATGAGAAATGTTTTTCAAAGGTTGAGATGGATACCTCAGGATTGTTGACTTCTATAGGACATGAAAGAATCCCTCCTGATGGCTACCAGGGAGATGGTTGTTGTGATAAATTGACCAGTTCTGATAATATGTTAGACAAATCAGGGAAAGGCGGGAATGGAAAAATACAAAATGTCTGGGATCCTATTTCTTTTACTCCTAATGATGGTAAGGGTGTTAAGAGATCTGTTTTGCAATCTGAGATTTCTAAACGTTCATGTGCTTTTCAACCATACACCAAGGACAGTGAAAATCAAGGTCTGAGTGATTCAGAAACCAAAAAAGTAATTGTAGTAGGAGCTGGGCCTGCTGGCTTAACTGCAGCAAGGCACTTGCAGCGCCTAGGTTATCGTGTAACTGTGCTTGAGGCAAGGAGTAGAATAGGAGGCCGTGTTTTTACTGATCGTTCCTCTCTTTCTGTCCCTGTGGATGTTGGTGCTAGCATTATTACTGGTGTTGAGGCAGATGTTGCGACTGAAAGAAGACCAGATCCTTCTTCCATAATTTGTGCCCAATTGGGCCTTGAGTTGACTGTTCTTAACAGTGATTGTCCTCTCTATGATAGTGTCACTGGCGAGAAAGTTCCTGCACATTTGGATGAAGCACTTGAAGCAGAATACAATAGCTTATTGGATGACATGCTGCTGCTGGTTGCACAGAAAGGGGAACATGCTGAAAAAATGTCTCTTGAGGATGGCTTAGAATATGCCCTCAAAAGGCGTCGTTTGGCTCTTTCTGGTAGAAACTATATGGGCAACACACACAATCTACATAAAACTGTTACAGATACTCCGATGCAGTCTGCTTCTGATGTAGTCTGTGACACTCATTGTCCTAAAGCTGATGTGCTGAGTCCTCTTGAGAGAAGGGTAATGAATTGGCATTTTGCAAACTTGGAATATGGGTGTGCCGCATTACTTAAGGAAGTTTCTCTTCCTCATTGGAATCAAGATGATGTCTATGGAGGTTTTGGAGGAGCTCACTGCATGATTAAAGGGGGTTATAGCACCGTCGTTGAATCACTGGGAAAAGGTCTTCAGATACACTTAAATCACGTTGTAACAGACATCGTGTATGACATGGAGGGTAGTGCAGGCAGTAATACATTGATTAACAAGGTCAAAGTCTCCACATCCAATGGAAATGAGTTCTCAGGGGATGCAGTCCTGATTACCGTACCCCTTGGATGTCTCAAGGCAGGATCACTTAACTTTACACCACCACTGCCACATTGGAAATCTTTGTCTATTCAGCGGCTTGGTTTTGGGGTTCTTAATAAAGTTGTTTTGGAGTTTCCTGAAGTGTTCTGGGATGACTCAGTGGATTACTTTGGTGCAACTGCTGAAGAAACAGACCACAGGGGACAGTGCTTTATGTTCTGGAACATAAAAAAAACTGTTGGTGCACCTGTTCTTATAGCATTGGTGGTTGGAAAAGCTGCTATAGATGCCCAACGTATTAGCTCATCGGATCACGTGAACCATGCCTTAATGGTTCTTCGCAAACTATTTGGCGAGAGCATGGTACCCGATCCAGTCGCATCTGTGGTGACAGATTGGGGAAGGGATCCTTACAGCTATGGGGCTTACTCTTATGTTGCTGTGGGGTCATCGGGAGAAGATTATGACATTTTAGGGAGGCCTGTTGGGAACTGCCTGTTTTTTGCTGGTGAAGCTACCTGCAAGGAGCATCCTGATACTGTTGGTGGTGCAATGATGAGTGGGCTTAGGGAGGCTGTGCGTATAGTTGACATATTGACTACAGGTACTGACTTCATTGCAGAGGTGGAGGCATTGGAAGATGCAAACAGACAATTGGATGTTGAAGAGAGTGAAATTGGAGACATCATAAAGAGACTTGATGCAGTAGACCTTTCAAATGTTATGTGTAAGAAATCTTTAGATGGTACCCAGATTATAACCAGGGATTTACTGTGGGACATGTTTTATAATGCTAAAACAACAGCGGGAAGATTATATTTGCTCAAAGAATTGTTAAATCTTCCTGTGGAAGTTCTAAGATCTTTTGCTGGAACTAAAGAAGGCCTCATCACACTCAATTCTTGGATATTGGTATGTTGTTCCTCCATGCCAACGATTTCTACTTCACGTTTTTGATATTGCATCATGATAAAAAAATTTCTAATTTGATTTGTTCCACTTGTACAGGATTCTCTTGGAAAGGATGGGACTCAGCTCTTGCGCCATTGTGTTCGTCTACTTGTACTTGTTTCAACTGATTTAGTTGCTGTACGCTTATCTGGTATAGCCCTCTCTGTCATACATTTTTTTAATGCTGTCCTACCTACAAATTTAGTGTATATTGTTTGGTGACTATCTCACTCTGTTTGATACCATCTTCTGCTATAGTTTTTATGCGTCTAATTTCTTTCTTTATTTCAGTAACTTTTTTGTTTGTTGCTGATTTTGCATAGGCGTTGGGAAAACTGTAAAAGAAAAAGTGTGTGTGCATACGAGCCGTGATATACGTGCTATAGCAAGTCAGCTTGTAAATGTGTGGATAGAAATTTTTCGAAAGGAGAAGGCTTCCAATGGGCTAAAACTGTTGAGGCAATCAAATGTTGCTCACCCGCCAAAGAGCAAATCTAGTATTGCATCTGGAAGACCTCCTTTATGTACATCTATGGCACCTGAAAGTAAAAGGAGCTTGAGAATTCCAACCCCTGGTGGAAGCCAATTGCCATTGAATTCAAGCAATAGAAATGTGGAAGTCAAGCCAGCTAGGTTGGAAGCTGCAGCTGACTCAAAATCAGATGTTGAACCACCAAGCTCTCAAGGTTCTGTAGGAAGGCGAAATGCCACGATTGATGGAAACCAGAATCTCCCTTTGTCTGACGAGGAAAAGAATGCTATTGCCGCCGCAGAAGCAGCTCGTGCTGCTGCTCGTGCAGCCGCCGAGGTTTGCCTTTCTTATTTTTCCTTTGGTGCATCTGTAAATCTTTTTGCGTTTTCTAACCTACGAATTAAAATATTAAATGGATCAATGATAAAAGTACATCTTCTAATGTCGTCAGCAAGTGTAGCTCACACTTGAAGTTCTGGCAGCAGAATTTGGATGCTGGCATGGACCTTCTGGATCGGGAGGTGTCTATTAGTGTTGTAGATTTATTGAATCTATGTTAAACTAGAAATATTAAGGCTTGCATGCCTACAAATTGTTCTCAAAAGGCTCAAGTAGGAATATGAATATATGATTGCTTTGACTGCCATATTTTATGAGAATGCTCTGTTACCTTGTAAGCACTGTAACAAATGTAGGGAAACTACATTGAGACATGTTCTGATAATCATTCCCCTCACAGAGAATACATGTATTTACATGTACACAGAATCATAAATAGGTTTGACACCAGTGTTATCATGTCGAATCATGTCTGACCATATCTAACAACATTAGTCAATGTTTTATCTTAGTGTCTCATTTCTTATATGCAGCCAAGGGCATCTTACCTTTTATCAGCGTTCTTGCTGATCATAAATAATCATTTCAGGCATATGCTTCTTCTGGTGCCAAATATAGTACAACATTACCGCTTCCAAAGATACCATCATTTCACAAATTTGCTAGACGGGAACAATATCCACAGGTGGATGAGTCTGATATTAGAAGGAATTGGTCTGGTGGTGCTATAGGAAAACAAGATTGCTTATCTGAAATAGATTCCCGGAACTGCAGAGTTCGGAATTGGTCTGTTGATTTCTCTGCAGCTGGTGTCAACCTTGATACTTCAAGAACGTCTTTTGACAATCGTTCACAGCATAGTCTTTCCAATGATAATGCATGCCAGTTCAACTTCAGAGAGCACTCTGGAGAAAGCGCTCCTGTAGACAGCAGCATATTAACTAGAGCATGGGTTGATAGTTCAGATAGTCTAGGAAAGGACTACAATGCAATTGAGATGTGGCAATGTCAGGCAGCAGCAGCTAATTTAGATTTCTATGGACGGGCATTGCAAGTGATGGATGAGGAGGAATCAAACATGAGTTCCAAAATACCTACAGAAAGGCATGACCTGCTGGCTATTGAGAGTTCTGCTTCACATGTTACAGTACCTAAAGCAATACACAATCAACCTAGAGGAGCAGAGAAAATTAAGCAGGCAATTGTTGATTATGTTGCATCTTTATTGATGCCTCTTTATAAAGCTAGAAAGATTGATAGGGAAGGTTATAAGTCCATAATGAAGAAAACTGTGACAAAGGTCAGTCCTGTTCTATATGTTGCTGCCACCACAGTCTAGAATAATTTCTCTTATATATTTTAATTTATTTTCCAAACATTTTTTTATTTAGGTTATGGAGCAAGCCACAGATGCAGAAAAGGCAATGGCAATAGATGAGTTTCTGGATTTCAAGCGTAAAAACAAGGTGCTGACACATTCCATCTTCCAATAAATAATGTGCCTCAGAATTATGTTTTCGTTCTAATGTACATGCTGGTAGAAGTTTAACGCTTTGCAGTCTTAAATGAGTTTGTGGGAGAGAGCATTGATGGGAGAGGTTGGGGAATCTTTTGAGTGCCTTTTTTGTTGGTGAAAAATTTGAAGTCCAGTTCCATAATTACATTTATATCAGTTTACTAATTCTGAATTCTGATCTAATTTATTGTAAAAATTCCCGTTTTTATGCTTATTGGCTGTTATTGCTAAACATGCAGATTCGCGCCTTTGTAGACACGCTAATAGAGAGGAATATGGCCAGGAACCAAGAAGCAAATTCTCGAGCAAACTGAGGGCCAATCTTAGTTTCAGTGCTTATGCAAGTGTGTAGGATGAAGACAATTTCTTCTATGCTCTATATGAGAGAAGTTTTTTCGTTCATAGATTGCAGCACAGTCCAACGTGATGGGTTTCATGGAAACTGCCAGTTTGTGTTAGTAGTCAGTAGCACTGATGATTTGTCTCAATGTATATATGCACACCAGGGAAATTGCAATCAGTGTAAGGAGCAAGTAACGAGGAACAGCTCTTTTGAGGCAAAGGCCCCATTCACCATCCGAGAGACCATGAAATATTTGAGACTCATTATCGATATCCTGTTAGGAATTTGGTGGGGTGATGCTTATCTTCCATTAGTCTTAGAATTTGTTGGTTAGGGTATTGAACCTAAATATTGTATGGTTTAGCTTTAGGACAAAAGGTGAAGAGCTCTGAGATTTTCTTTTTGAGAGATCACGATAGATTAAAACTGACTTTTTTCTGACTCATTTTGTTTTGAGATTTGTACAGCTTAGGACCATTATCATGACTTCAAATATACAAAAGATTATTCTTGGTCTCTCAAGTCTGCTTGTGTCACAAGCTGTCTTAATATCAAAGCGTACACATTTCTCTTTTATTCCTTTTAGCATTATTTTCCAGTTTATTCTCTCAGTGGCTTGTTAGACAACAATATCTCCTATGCACTTGAGAGAATAAGTGCTCTGAGCAAATAGCGGAAATGGGTGTTTAAACAAGTTTTGGGGGAAGAGACACCTACGTGAGTGTATGATTGCTATCTTTTGTTTGTGGTTCAGTGGTATGATGCACTCGCTATAGTTTTTTCCACCTGCAAGATGATTAAGAAATAACTAGTAAATGCAAATGATTGAGTGCAGAATTCTACAGATCTATTGCAATAGTATGCAAAATCTCAAGCGCAAGCTATAGTTGCTACATGCTATTTGAAATATATTTGTTTGCAGGTGAAAATCACTTCTAATATGGTTTATTTTCAGCCTTTATCAGTGAGTTTTTCGGTTCTGCTTCTAGTTACTGTTTATTTAGCTAACTTTTCTCTAGAAACTGTGTGCTGGGCCTTCTGGCATGATTTATAACTCTGCAAAATTGTTATTAATGAATAAGGAAGCTGTTTTGAAAATTTATGTTAGCTGTTTAAATCTGATGTGAATACTGTGAGAAGTATTATTTAGCAATAGACCTAATAAAATCAAGTAGGAAACAGACAATAAAACTATAACTGTTGAAAGTTTAGTGTTGGTGCAGCCTGAACCAAGCCTTTCCACACTGACCCATTCCCGGTGAAAGTGTAAATAGGTGTCGTGTAAAGAAACATTTATTTTTTTTTCTAGTCTGGTTGTTTCTTTCTTTGTCCTGTTTATTTGTAGGGTAAGGGGGCGCTGGGAAATGGGGTCTATGATTGGATGGAGTAAAAGGCAGATATGATGCTTATGGAATTATGACTTCTCATTTTGGTTCTATACATCGATTGTTCAACCTCAATATTTTCTGGATGCTGGCAACTGCTAGCAGTAAGAAATTGAAAGTGCTAATATGCTATTACTTTGACTATAATGTGCACAAAGGAATCCATAATAGTATACAGACAACATTTAATACAACTACAAGAAAGCCAATATAATCCCATCTCGTTGAGGTCCGGGGGGGGGGTGCAACATGTACACAACTTAACCCTCTAATAAGAGATAGGTTGTTATTTTCGTTAGACCTTTTTATGAATTGTTGTATTTACTTTTTCAAAACTTTATCAAAAGTAAGGAGCAAGGGGAGGTTTATGTGCCATTTACTGTCCATTATCTACCTGTCAAACATGTCCCTTTTAACTTCATTAACAAAGGCATTACTATTTTCAATACAATGGTTTGAATAAGATTTGACATGTACATTTGAATTGTGCAGAAGAGTTTTCTTAGTAAATGTTTGATTACTTCTGTCACTTTAAATCAATTGAACACTTGATCCGTGTTCTTTTCTATTTTAGTTATTCTATGCCATTGGAACAAGTAATAAATTGCAGTGAATCTGCATAGGTTTCTGTCCAAACATGCATCATTCCTCCACTTTCATAACCTCCCCTCCAAAGTCCTCCAACCGAGGACTAGAAGAAGTGTCTTTATTTATATTATAATTGTCATGTTCTATCAATGGACTTCTTACTGAGGAAAACTAAGTTACATATTTATATTCCTGTTTGCTTTATGGGGTTCACTGGGTTGCAAAAGGAGCCCTATACATATTTTCTGGTAAACAATTCCAAACCACCCATTGAAGTCTTTTCTTCCATTTAAATAATTGTAGGTTGAGACTATATGAGGTATCTGAAGTTTTTTTTTTTCTTCTTTTGCAGGGAGATTTCTGCTGATTTGGAGGGAACAAAAATAAGGTGAGTGCCCCCACCCGTCTCCCTCCCCACTAATACTTCAACTAAATGAGGGAAGGGGAGATGAGTCTCTCGCCTCCTATCGAACCAAACACACCTTACGGCAATGCTTATGTCAATGGAATGACTTATTATCAAGTAATAACTCTTTGGGGGAAGGTAAAACTTTCTTTCTTATTGCTCTACTGCCTGTCTTGTTTTTTCTTTCTCAATTTGCATTGCTTCTTCTTCTTTCTCTTTTTTGTTGTGTTTTTTTTTCTGGTTTTATTCCAATCCAATCCGTTCTGGTTTGGTTATGCTGATTGTGAAAAAAAAAAAAAATAGAGTTTGAATGACTTTAACTCAAGCTCCTATTATGGTTTTGAAGTCTCTCTGGTTTTATGACTCAGTTCATCCTTGAACTTCATAGAAATGACATGTCATCACATATATTTAATGTGATAATCTTGGATGTGTTGATAGAGTCAGAAACTTGGAGCTCAGATTGTTTGCCCAAACTTCAGTGTGCCGGTGCCAAATGTAATGTAGATGGTTTTTCAAATGTACTAAAGTGAACAACTTATGTATTTGCATGGACAGATAATGAGAAGTTTCACATTAATGCATTCCTATTTATACCATGTCTTTCTTTTCCACTTTTGCTGAGTGCTAACTACATAAAATAATCTCATTAGACAGTGGCAATTGTATTGAAGATTCGAACTGAGCAGATTTCTTTATGAAGGCATTTCATTATATGAAGACCGCCCACTAGCCAAGAGCAAATGTGGTTCGTTTTCAAATCTGCAGGTTTGTATGATTCTTATTTGCATTGTTGCATTAGGGTGGGGGTTCTGAATTGCCAGTTGCTCATAAAGGGTTAGGGAATGCTAAGCAATTGATTTAAATACCCTTTCCATGGCTTCCTATAGTGTTTGTCACTTGAAGGTGTTTTTGTCAGATTTGTGGCATTCTCTAACCCTTTCATCACTGTCAAAGTGACAATAGCTTATATGGTAATCTATATATGCTTGCTGCTTTACGTAAATCATTATGATAACATGATTTTTGTGACTGGATTTTGATTAGTTCACAGAGTGCATATGTTCATAAAGGGAGTGAGTGTGAAGGGTTTTAGCTATAATTATGTCTGAGTTTATTTTTGGTATTTGATGGAATCCGCTACTTCGGGGGCGCCAACCCGATGAGCTCAATCTCGGGTTGACTTCACTTCGGTAGTGAAACTCAATCAATAAAATATGAATATAAGTTTTAAATAGCAGAGAAATTTATTTATTTATTTATTTTTTTGCGTGGAAACCCAAATTATGGAATAAAGAGTATGTTTCCAAAATGATACTCTTTATAAAACGAAATAATTACAAGGGTGGTACTCTTTGATCGAGTTAAATGCTTAGGTAAGTCCATCGATTAAACGTCCGTGAAAATGGTGATAATTAGGGAATTATTTTGGTAATTTTTATTGTCAAAATTTAGAATAACTTCCCAAGGTAGTTCTTTCTAATTGCCTGTGTTTCTAAACTAGTCCATTTTCAAATGAAAATTTATTAAATATAGAAAAATAAATTTAATTTTTCTGGGATGGGAAAATATAATATAAAAAATTTGAAAATGTACACTTCAGATTTTTAAAAATTATTTTGAAGTATATCATGGAATAAAATGTTTCATTTGTATTTATTTTCTCTCTTGGTTTCAAAAGGCTCTTATTTTGGTTTACAATGTTTATTTGAAGTTATTTTCGGTAAAATTTTGACTCCAAAGTGAATTAAACTTGAGGGTGCAATTGAAGGAGGTAGGATGGTGGGTTCGAGGCTAGGCGGGGTGGAGGGGTTTAACGGTGGGGTTAGAAAGGGCAAGAATCATTAACTTTTACGAACGGAGTATCGTATGGCTCCCAGGTCATCCTTATACAATAAATAAAAAAAATAAATAAAGCTTCACTTACCTCAAAAAAATATTGTCTCAATATGTTTTTGGACTCATGATATTTTTTTTGTTTATTTATGTATTTTCGCTGATTATAATGTTGTATCTATTCATACATATTTTTTTCAACATATCTAAGCATATATAGTTATCACCTCCATTGGGGTTCAAACTTGTGGCCTGCTATTTGGGAGAGTCGTTCTGATGCCGCTGTACTTTTTATTTTTTTATCAATTTGTAAATAAAATAATTTTTTTAAAAAAATGAGATTTTGCATGTTGTTTGAAGTGACACAAGATTTTTGGAATGGAGTTGTCAAATATTTCCATGTATTGCCTTTTTTAGCCAATTGCAAATGGAGAAAAAAAACGCAAAGTTGAAAAAAAGACTAAAGAGAATATACAACAATCCAATTGAATTCGACAAAAGTAAGGTATAATCAGGGTGTATGGACCCAAACATTATCCTTGTTCAAAAGTACATATTATCTTTGTCCTAGAATATTTGTCTAGTTTTGATTTTTTTCAATTAATCATTTTCAACATTTGATCTATAATTAAGTAAAATATACTATATTATATATTAATTAGATAAAATAATATTTTGAAAATATTTTATATAATAGATCTAATAAAATTATTTTCGTATCAATGTCTAATATTATTTTTATTTAATTTGGGGTTGAAATTTATGAATTTTGATAAAAAAAATTAAAAGTATACAAATGCTCCGGGACTGAAGGAGTAGATTGTATCCAAGTAGGGGATTGGGCCTTTATTGGGCTTTTGAAAATGAATCCAGTAAATACCCGGCAGATACGGGCCTTTAATGTCTGCCAGCATAGCTGAAAACCTCTAATGTCTCTTTCTCCCTCCTAAATTTTTGAGCTCTGTCGAAAATGGAAGCCTTAACGCATCTAAGCTTCAGAATATGCAGCACTACAAGGCTTGCGCCACCGCTCCTACCCACCGGCACTAAGAGAATCCGCCGATTCTCCGCCGTCACCGGAGGAGCTGGCGGTTCTTCCATCACCTTATCCGCCAGCAAATGGGCCGATCGCCTTCTCGCCGACTTCCACTTCCTCCCTTCCTCCTCCTCCGATCCTCCGGAACATAAGAACTTATCTGGTGCTCTCACTCCCCAGCCGCTTGAAATTCCGGAGCGCCCCGTCTCGTTGCCCTTAGACTTCTACAGAGTGCTCGGAGCTGAAACTCACTTCCTCGGGGACGGCATAAGAAGAGCCTATGAGGCGCGCATTTCGAAGCCACCGCAGTATGGTTATAGTCACGAAGCTCTAATTAGCCGCCGCCAGATCCTTCAAGCTGCCTGTGAAACCCTTGCGGACCCTAGCTCTCGAAGAGACTACAACCAGAGTCTTGCAAACCATGAATCTGATGCCCTTCTCACTCAAATTCCATGGGATAAGGTTCATTTCGTCTTGTTAATTTTGGATTCCTTATGTTTGAACTCTCGGGTTTTTTTTCTGTCTATTCTATTGGAAACATATATGGATTTTAACAAACTATTGCAAAGCTAAAGTATGTTTGTGGCCATACTTTCTAGGTTCCAGGAGCATTATGTGTTTTGCAAGAATCAGGCCAGGCTGAACTTGTTCTTCAGATCGGGGAAAGTTTGCTGAAAGAACGGCTTTCTAAGTCATTCAAACATGATGTCGTCTTAGCAATGGCCCTTTCTTATGTTGATCTATCTAGGGATGTAATGGCCATTTCTCCACCAAATTTTGTTAATGGTGCTGAGTATCTTGAAAAGGCATTAAAGTTACTACAGGTTCTTATTTCTTTTGCACTTTTTGTATAATACTTCTTCCTTCTTCATTTCACGATGGCGACGAAATAAAATGCCTAGGGAATGTAGAAAGTTATCAACTTTTAACTTAGTCTCAAACACCTTGCTCTCTAGTTGTTCACTCTTATAGCTTCTGAAATCTACCCATGTAGAAATCTGCTGTTTTCTTTACTTTCTTAACAAGTTTCAACTACTCTGCCTTTTTTGAAAGTAAGGGGGGTTTGATTCCCGTGTTATGCAATTTCGGGCATTGAATGGCACCTTGGCGTTACCACTTACCAGCCTGTTACAATGAGCAGGAAGAAGGTCCAAGTACCCTTGCCTCAGATCTACAGGCACAGATAGATGAGACACTGGAAGAGATCAACCCACGTCGTGTGCTAGAGCTTCTGGCCTTACCACTCGACGATAATCATCAAACGAGACGAGCAGAAGGTCTTCAAGGAGTACGTAATATCCTGTGGGCTGTTGGAGGAGGAGGCGCTACTGCCATCTCTGGGGGGTTTACACGAGAAGGTTTCATGAATGAAGCCTTTCAACATATGACCGCTGCAGAGCAGGTGAATAATGTCAATCTCTTGTCAAAGTTTTGAATTCTTGCCTTTTTTTTCTTCTCCTTTCTTCTTTTTTATTGCATTTCTCTTAGTTTTTCTTTGTGTCTAAATGGAACCGGAAAATACTAGTGAAAGAATGTGGGAAGGAAAATGTCAATGAAAATTATAAATAAAAATTATGAAGGTAAATTATATGCTTAAAACTCAATAAGTTTATTTTAGATATATATTCATGCTCATTTTATTTATTTATCAATATTATGTCAATTATTTAAAGACCAAGAATTCTGAATATGTTCATATACTCCCTCTGTGCTTGAATTTAGACGGCTTATAAAATTCTCTTTTGCTTCTTAGAACAAGTTGTGTGGTCCATTATATTTCTCATAGTATGCATAAATTTCAACCACACACTTTTCACCTATATTAGACTTAGTGAAATCCCAAATAGGACTTTGAATTAGGGATGGAGGTAGTATTTTTTAGATTTTAGAAAAAAGTAATCATAGTTTGTTGCATTTTCCAATTAAAACCAAACATAATAAAATTACTTTCTTTAGGGTATGTTTGGATCTTGGAAAATGCTATGTATAGAGATAAATTTGTTATGGAAACTTATACTTTTTTGCTTGGTTTTACCATGGAAAATGTAAAGAGAAGTGAAATGCGTTTTTATTTTTATTTTCTACGTGTTATATTTCTTGGCCTTTATATATGCTCCCTAATAGAAATAAACAAATAAATAGATTTTGAACAATGATAAAATATAAATTTATTGAGTTTGAACAAAAAACATGCATTTTCAATCTCACTATTTCCTTTTAAATTTCTACTATATGGTCAAACCTCTCTTTGACATCCATAATTGGATCAATAGTGTCTTTGTAAAAGTGACCATCTATGATAGCCTATCTTCATTAAATACTATACATGCATTATTGGACCTGCCCTGTTCTTTATGGTTGAAATTTCAGAGTTGGATGTTGGAAGAAACTAGAAGGGGTTGGAAAATGTTGGAAGAATTTAAGTGTTAAAAAGTCACTCAATTAAATGATCATCCAAATAAATATGTAAGAAAACTTTAGTTTTGGATAAAAAAGAATTCATCATTGTCTGTGTTTGGGGTGATATGTTTAAAATTTGGATATATAATGTTATTTTATATTATTCATATATAAATACATTTTTAAGTCGTTGTTGGAAGAAACTGGAAGGAGTAGGGAAGAACTAGAAGGAGTTGGAAGAAGTTGGAAGTTAAATTTTCCAATCCAAAAGAATAGGGCCGTTTATGACTCGTTTTTTAATGAAGAATCCTCTTTTATATTCTGTATTTAACCCCTAAGCCCAAAACATGAAATGCCTCTATTACTTCTTATGACACAAAATATGAATCATTAGTTCAAACTTATCAGTGCTAGGAAGCAAAAATTTGGAAAGCAAGCTACATTTTTAATTTTTTTCCCCATTAACTGAAGAAAATATATTTAAAACAAAAAAGTGGAAAATTGAGAGTGTACATAGTTATTTATAATGGCATGTTGTTGTTTGCGTATAACATGTTGTTATAGGTGTATTGCAATCCTCCACTATAACATCCAAAACAGTTTGAGACAAACGAGGGTTTTATAGAGAGGTTTGACTATTTTGTGCTCTCTTTTTCTTTTCCTTGGATTGTCTGAGTTTCTAAGTCTTTGTTTTTTCTTTCCTATCCCTATTGTTTGATGTAAAAGGTTGATCTATTTGTTGCCACACCAAGTAACATACCAGCTGAGAGTTTTGAGGTCTATGGAGTTGCACTTGCACTTGTTGCTCAGGCTTTTGTTGGCAAAAAACCTCACCTCATCCAAGACGCAGACAACCTCTTTCAACAACTTCAGCAAAGCAGAGTGAGCTCTGCACTAGAAAGGGGACTTTGCTTGCTTCTGGTGGGAGAAGTTTACGAATGTCGTTCATGGTTAGGCTTAGACAGTGAGGACTCACCATATAGAGATCCGTCCATTGTCACGTTCGTTCTAGAACATTCCAGAGTTGACAATGAAAATGATCTTCTTCCTGGACTTTGCAAGTTGTTGGAGACATGGTTGTTGGAAGTTGTGTTTCCCAGGTTTAGGGAGACACGATCTATGCAAGTCAAACTTGGGGACTACTATGACGACCCAACAGTTTTGAGCTATTTAGAGAGAATGGAAGGAGTTGGCGGCTCACCTTTGGCTGCTGCTGCGGCTATTGCTAGAATTGGGGCCGAAGCTCATGCTGTGCTTGACAGTGTGAAGGCTAGTGCTATTCAGGCATTGCAAAAGGTTATTCCCCTTGGTGGTGAACTAATTAGACATGACGTTGAAACTTATCCTCCTGAAAATGTCATGGTTGGTTCTTCTGATGGATTAAAACTTTCTAACGAGGAGGAGAATGAAAGGATTGCTTACAGAATAAAAGATTTGGTTGTTAAGATTACATCTGCTGGTGTGGTTGTTGGTGTTCTAACATTAATTGGGCTGAGATTTTTACCGCACAGGTCTGACACTTCTGATCTGCTACGTAAAGATGGTGGATCGAGCCGATCAACTATGATTTCTGAAGTTGCCAACGTAGGTAATGACATACTCCATATAATGCCCTATTCTAGTGTTTCACACATATTAATGAATTGTTAAAACATATGGATAAAAAATGTAAAAATGCTAATCTGCCCATGTAGTTATCTACACCGTATGATTCTAAAGAATTGCAGTTAACTAGTGATAAAAATATGTGAAGTTGTGCCTGGGACATATTATTCAAGCTTGAAAGTGTAATTTTGGAAAATTTTAATAAATGTTCTCTTGATGTCAAGTAACGACTAATTTGTGACAGATAAAGTGGAAAAGTGACATCCTTTTTTCATCACAGTTAATCACAGTCTTGATGTTTGATAACCGATGGATTAGGGATGCTACTAATAAATAGCCTTTCAAGAGAAATAAGCTCACATTGTGGATTACAGTCTATCATATCTGGATATCTAAAATTTGTTTCTTGTTCTTATCCGCAGAGCCCTCAATAGTTGAGATATCTGAGGAAGTTCCTAAAATGGATGCTAGGTTCGCTGAAAGCCTTGTTCGCAAGTGGCAGGACATTAAATCTCAGGCTCTGGGACGTGACCATTGTCTTGAGAAATTGTCAGAGGTAAAATAAAAGACCTGATATTAGTCTACTATATTACTAGTTCGAGTAGTGCTCACACACGCACTCACTAAGAGTATGTGAGGGACTGCGATGTAATGGTAGAAAACCCATGTGGGCCCACATGAAACCGGACCCGTTGTCATCCTCAAGACCGTCAGGTCACTGTCTTGTCGAATTTGAACTGCTCAGATGTGAGCATACAAGATACAACTTTCATGATCGGACGGTCCTGATAAACAGAAGACTTGTCCTAAAGACAATCAAGTTGGCACATAGACCAAGAAGAAGAGAATAAAAGATGAAAGTGACATAAATGTCCTTGCTTTATGAAGGGGGATCTAAAAGTAGTGTTAAAGATAAAAAAGTCAAAGTGGACAAATACATTGGGAATACATTTAACATCTTAGGTTTTGTCCCTTCACAATCCATCCACCTACTAAACACAAAGTTCATGTTGTGGCAGATCTTGGATGGTCAGATGCTGAGAATATGGACTGACCGGGGGGCAGAAATTGCGCAGCACGGCTGGTTTTGGGATTACACCCTGCAGAACCTCACCATTGATAGTGTCACTTTATCTATGGATGGGCGGCGGGCAGTTGTGGAGGCAACGCTTGAAGAATCTGCCCGGCTGACCGACTTGGCTCATCCCGAACACGATGATTCATACAATACAACATATACAACAAGATACGAGCTGTCCTGTGGCAACTCTGGATGGAGAATTGTAGACGGCGCCGTCCTCAAATCTTAATGGTTTTTTTTCTTCCTTGTTCTTCTTCTTCTTCTTCTTCTTGGGTGGGGGGTATTAGGCGTAATTTTTTCATATGTAAATTCTGTCCTTGTTATTGTTGTATTACACTAGGTGAAGTACATTTTGCCAGATACGTTGATCCACCATAAGAAGTTTACTTTAGGCTTTAAACCCCTCACCCTAGCCCCACCCTAAGCCCCTCCCAGCCCCACCCTAAGCCCCCCACCAAGGTTGATGTGGATTGTGGAGTATATATAGAGCTTATGTGGAACATGTGGGATAGTGGTTGCTTCATTTATCAAAAGAGTTGCTTAGAATAGCAATCCTACTTCAACTATTAACTCCTCTAAGCAACTTCACTACATGTTCTTAGGGAACCAGAACCATTTGAATCGTTTAGGGAAGGGTTTTGGAATTTTGGTTTCTATGTTTACATTTGAGAACGAAAATCGATTTTATTTGTTTTTTGTTTTTTTTTTTCAATTCTTATTTTCAATTAGTTTAAGATTGATTTACAATATTTACCAACAAGAAAATAGTATGGATTCAAATATATTACGGAGTACATTTTATTTTAAAAAAGCAACCCAAAACTAGTGGAAGTGGTTGAAGATTGGAATTATCCAAAACCACTAGACCAAGAAAGGATTCAACATTTCAAGTTGTGATTCTTTCCTTTTTAGAAAACCAAAATCGAAAACCAAACCAGATCCGACAATATTCACCCCTATTATATGTTTAGGTAAAGGTAAAGGATGAATTTTTCACCCAAAAAAAGAAAGGGATGGAGTAACTATGAGTGCTACTAAATCTACATTTTTTTTAATATTAAATTTACACCTTTTTATCATAAATATAAATATATTTTCTTAAAATTATAAAAATAGAAAAGATAACATGTAAACTAACATAAGACTAAATTGAACAACACAATTAGTAATTAAAAAAGTAAAAAAATGTAGGAGGAGGCTTCAAATTCTTTAATAAAAAAAGTCTTTGATTTGTGTAGTTGGCAAAGTAAAAAATATAAAGAAGAGACATCAGATATCCATGTTTAATTTTATGTTTTGCAACTATGTAAAACATAAAACTTCTACAAATACCCGTTATTTTACAATTTGACGCAAATTTATGATTAAATCTCAAGTGATTGTATAATTGGAGGGGTTTATCTTTTTTTAAAGAAAAGAGAGAAAGGAAGAAGCTTTAGAGTCAATATGATTACAGCTAAGCGCCTAATCTTCAGTTTCAGTGATAGCCACCGCCCTCACTCCATCTCCCCCGTTCTCATTGCCAATCTTTGATCCCGTTTCCAAACCCCCGATTCAATCTCAATTTCGACCTTCAATTCATGATTTAGAAGAATCTAGGGTTTTAAATTATTGTTGTTCGAAACCCTGATTTAATTCCAATTAGTATTAATTCTCACCGAGACAGGGGAGAATGACGACGATGAGGGGGAGCAGATCTGAGAAGGTGAAGAGAATATTCCAGCAATTCGATGCCAACGGGGACAGCGGCCTGAATCGGGAGGAAATGGCCGCGCTGGTGGTCGCCGTCAACCCCCGCGTCAAGTTCAGCGACGAGCAGATCAACGCCATCCTCGACGAGGTCTTCAGGACCTACGACGAGTTCATCGACGGCGACACCGGCCTCACATTCGACGGCTTGCTGCGCACCTACGACGACGGCGCCGGCGACGTAGACCGCGACTTCGATGCTCTGGGCCTCGAGCTCAAGCCCGAAAACGACAACGGGATCTCCATCGCCTCCGAAGAGGCGTCCTCCTCCATTGCCGCCGACGACAGAGTGATGGAACCCCACAAAAAACAGAGGACCGCCGCCTGGGCCGCCTCGCCCAACCACGGTATAGTATTCGACGACACCTGGAAGCTAGTAGACGACCTAGAAATCCTTATAAAGCGTCTCAAATCCAAGCAATCCAACAACCGCAAGCTGAAGAACGATAACTCCGACCTCTACTCCGATCCAGGCTGGTCTCGCGAATTGGGAGCTTCCGCCGAGATATCCGAGAAACGGGTGGCGTGGGACCACTCCGGCCACGACTACCCTACCTTCCTGAAGGATCTAGGGGTGCTGAGGTCCAGGGCAGACGGTTCCAGGTCAAGGGAAGAAGCTTTCGACGGCCACATGGCTTTGGGCAGAGTGTTATACGACAACCAACTGTTCAAGGAGGCTCTGGTGAGCTTTAAGAGGGCTTGTGAATTGCAACCGGCAGACGTGAGGCCTCATTTCAGAGCAGGAAACTGCTCTTACATCCTCGGAAACCACCGCGAGGCCAAAGAAGAGTTTCTCATCGCATTGGATGCTGCTGAAGGTGGGGGTAACCAGTGGGCTTATCTCCTCCCTCAAATCCATGTCAACCTTGGGATTGCCCTCGAAGCTGAAGGTATGGTCTTAAGTGCCTGTGAGCATTATAGAGAGGCTGCCATTTTATGTCCCACTCATTACAGGGCACTGAAACTCTTGGGCAGTGCCCTGTTCGGCGTGGGTGAGTATAGGGCTGCCGTCAAGGCACTTGAAGAGGCCATTTACATGAAGAACGATTACCCGGACGCGCATTGTGATCTAGCTTCGGCTTTGCACGCCGTAGGGGATGATGATGATGCGATCAAGGAGTTCCAGAGAGCCATTGATTTAAGACCTGGGCATATTGATGCTCTGTACAATTTGGGTGGGTTGTATATGGATATGGGGAGGTACCAGAGAGCTTCGGAGATGTACACCAGAGTCTTGGCTGTTTGGCCCAACCATTGGAGGGCTCAGCTCAACAAGGCCGTGGCCCTGTTGGGTGCTGGTGAGAATGAGGAAGCTAAGAAGGCTTTGAAGGAAGCTTTGAAGATGACAAACAGAGTCGAACTGCACTATGCCATGACACACTTGAAGCAACTTCAGAAGCGGAGGACGAAGGTGGTGGTGGGGGCCACCGCGGAGGAGGCGGCCGTCCAACCACCTTCCAAGTTCAAGACCGTGGGGGAGAGGACCACGCCAAGGCCCGAGCTGGCTGCCGCCCTTGAAATCAGGGCTTTCCAGAGGGTCACAAGATTGAAGCGTTTGGACGTTGAGATTCTGAGCAAGGAAATGAATGAAAGTGAGGTCCCCCTTTCCTACTCCGGCGTGGGTTCCCCAGAGAAATCAATACGGAAGGCTTCCCTAGAGGAAATCCTCCGCAAGTTGCTCAGCTTCTTGAAGCCAGAGACGTTCATAGAAGCCATGAGAGCCATTAACCAGAAGATCCTCTCGGTCCTGGACGAGTCGGGATCGGGCAGGGTCGATCTCGGGATGTTCTTCGCCCTCGTCGCCCCTCTCTGCAACGGGTCGCCCGAAAGACGAAAACGGGTCGCGTACGACGCGCTGACGTGGCGGCCCGTGAGCAGCGAGGGCGGCCCGCGCATCAGGAAATCCGACTCCCGGAGGTACCTCAACCTCCTGAGAGCCGTATACTTCTCCCCTTCGCAGGGGTCGAACGAGGCGCTCGAGAGGGGCGAAACGGTCATTTCCTTCCATGAGTTCCTCGCGATGTTCGACGATCCGGATCAGGGGTTCGGGATCATGGGCACGCTACTGAGGCTCGAGGGCGGGGACAGGAAGCGGCACGGCAGGCATTGCTGCGCGGCGTGCCGGTACCCGATAGTCGGGTCCCGGTTCAAGGAGATGAGATCGGGGGTGAGTGTGTGTGGGCAGTGTTACAGTGAAGGGAAAGTGCCGCAGAGCTGCAGCAAGCAGGAAGAGTTTAAGTTCAAAGAATATGCAACAGAGGGTGAAGCTGTTAAGGACAAGTGTTTGTGGTTTGGTTTGAACTCTAATAAAACCTCTTCTCCCACTGCCACTGCTACTGCTAGCTAGTTACTCAAGTTCTGTGTTCATTCTTGCCATTGTCTTTTGTATAATAATAATTATTATCATTCATATTTTACCTTAAATTCATTTTGTGGGGATTACTGGTTAGGATTCAGTGCTGTAAAAAATGTTTTAAAATTCCATTTCAATCGCATGTTTAGTTGCAATGCCACAGTTAAATGAATTTCTGCTTCATTCTTTTGTAGAGGTCTTATGTTTAACAATTAACATAGTTTTCTCGTGTAGTTGTCAGGAATCAAAATCGAGACTTGCTCCCTTTACACGTCTTGCATTACCAGCTTAGCCACGCCCATGCTTAGCAATTGGCATAGTTATATTCTAGTGTAGTTGCTAGAAATCGAATTTGTTACTTATCCATTTGCACCTGTTGTGTTGCCACATGAGACACACTCCCTGGCAAAACTTTGACGAAGACTGGAGAGTAGGAAAGGCAATGCCAAACGAAAGTTTTTTCGGCAAGATTTGGTTTTTGGTGGTTTGATAAAAAAAAAAAAGGAAATTCTGAGATATAAGGAGTATATATTTATTAAAATATGCAAATTATACTCTAAAAAATTCAATAACATTATGTGTTTATGATGTCTGTCAAAGTTATGATATGAATTTAGGATCACACTTAGAAATTTTTACTTATAAATTCTTAATGTTGCGTCATTTAACTTAAAAAAAGTTAAATATCTAATCGGATCTGAGGGACGTCGGAGATTGCTTCTTTTTATTTAAAGCTAATGTAGAGGGGAAGAACTACTTCTTGTTTAGTTAAGTAATTGCCTAATTGGTACTAGAAGAAACAAACCTCACTAAAATGCTCCCCGGACGAGAACGTGCTAAAAGATGGAAATTGGAGAATGGGTAAGATGACCCACCAGTCAAACTGTTTTCAAAGAATGGTTTGAACAATTTTGAAACCCAAAGTTCTCAAATCTTTGGGTCGCTCTTTCTCCCTGGCATTTGATATATGGAAGCAGTAAGGAAGCAAGCTACCAAGCTGAGAGAACAGGTTGCCAAACAACAGCAGGTAACTTAACAACCCACAACCATCCCTATCCGAATATGAACAGTCTGGCGATGAACCCTAGTTCTAGTTCGCCAACTTGATTCCCTTCTTTTCCTAATTCTTGTTTTTCGCTTGTTTATTGTATAATATCGTACATAACGAGGTTCTGTATTGCTATTTATAATTGTTTCTCTTTGTTATCTCTCAATATGATTGATTCTGGTGTTTAATCTGTAATTTTAGAATCGCTTTACAATGGTTAAGGCAGAAGATGTTTTTTTATTTTTTGCCTATTTTTGACGTTCATTCGAATGATTCAATTATGATTTAAGGATGTCCTCAAAAGGTTTTCTGGTGGGGTGGGAGGCTCAGACAATGGTGTAACTAATGAAGCAGAGCTTCTGTTGCACAAAAAGCTCGAGAAACTTTACATTTCCACCCGTGCCGGAAAGGTCCTATTATTATTGTTATCTTCTTTATCACGTCTACTTCAATTTATATTCGGTATATCTTTTTCTTCTTTCTCACGTGTTGTGTTGGTATATGCTACATCTTGCCAATGACACAGCACTTTCAAAGGGATATTGTTCGAGGCGTGGAGGGTTACATTGTCACTGGATCAAAGCAAATTGAAATTGGTGAGTACTGTAGAGTCTGTGAAATGTAACTTCATTGCGGCTGCTAATCTTCAACTTCCTTAACAGGTACCAAGCTGTGCGAAGATGCCAGAAAATATGGAGCCGATAACACCTGCACTAGTAGTGGTACACTATCCAAAGCTGCACTAAGTTATAGCATGGCTCGGGCTCAAATGGAAAAGGAACGCGATAATCTACTAAAGGCTCTTGAAACTCAGGTTTTGGATTATCCTAATCAGTTACGGATTAGAATCTTTCGTTGTAGTTGATGTGTTGTTATTCTATGAGTTTATAGTATATCCTTGACCTTCGCTCCTTTTGGTCGTGGATTTGGTGAGCTGGCTGTTTTGTTTCATTCCATCAATTTAGGTTGCTGAGCCTTTTAAGGTCAATGGGTGTGGGGGCTCCTTTGGAGGAAGCTCGCCGTCTTGCTCAGCAATATGATAGGGTGAGACAGGAAGCTGAATCCCAGGTAGTGATCTGATTGCTAATAAGTTTCCAATTACTGGTATGTGCTAACTTCTTGGATTCTTTGCTTTTCCCAAAAATGCCAAAATATATAATTTGGATAAGTAATTACAAAAAAAAATGTCCATGTATTTTCATATCTGATTTCAGATATAGGTACCATTTTATTTATTTGATGTAATCAGCAAATTTACCTGCAGCATTGTGAAGTTCTATAGTTATAAAAACCTTGCCCCTGGCCAGGCTATTGAAGTTTCCAGGCGGCAAGCTAGAGCAAGGGAATCAAATAGTAATCCAGATTATATATCCAAGTTGGAGTCCGCAGAAATAAAGCTTCGTGAACTTGAGTCAAATATGCTTAAACTGGGGAAAGAAGCTTCCGCTGCAATGGCTGCTGTTGAAGCTCAACAACAAAGATTGACTTTTCAGAAACTTATAACCATCGTAACTGGCCTCTAAACTTTCTTCTACTGTTCAACATCTCAATCTAAGATTTTTTTTGTTTGAAATCCTCTTTCCCCTCTTATCTTTTGCTTGAGGTCGAGGCGGAACACAGTTATCCTCAGCGAATTCTGCAGATACTTGATCAGCTTGAAGCAGAGGTATAGTCTCTATTTAGTATTGCCTCTGTCCTATGGTGTAAGATACATTTGGGTCTAGCATGGTTTTCTAAATAACTACCAATTTAATCTTAAAAGATGAAAAATAACATGGGCCCCACAAGTAAAAAGAGAGATAAAAGGATAGAGTGTGAAAGCAAAAGTTAATGGCATTAGGATTTGGAAAGTGAACGCGTTTTTTTTTTGGACAAACTAAAAAGGAAAGAGTATTTTAACGGAATGGGTCAGAAGGAGTGTGCTTTAAAACTTTGGATGCATGTCTTAAAGGGCAATTATGCTGTGACTTCTCGGTAGGACCTTTTCATGTTTAGTTGTTTGTTAATGTTACTATCGTGCATGTCTTTCCTGTGCTCTAGATGTTGTCCAAGGCGTCATGGTAATGAAACTCTTCCCACTCCACCACCGCCACCATACAATGAAGCGAGAAGTAAATTTATGTCTCAAGCACAAAAAGCATCAGGGGATGGGACTAGCTACTTCTTGGGAGAGGTAACTGTTGATTATCTTTTATCTTTACTTTTTTGCTTCACTGGTATTCGCAACAATGCAATCTGATTTTGGTTTTGATCCTTCAACTTGTGCTTATTTTTTTTCATTCTTTTCGGCAGGTTATGCATCCCTATCTAGCTGAGTCAAATATAGAGCTCACCTTGTCAATTGGTGACTATGTTGTTCTCCGCCAGGTCTGATAAAGCTTGTGTTTCTTTGGTACATAAGCTAACTCATAGCTTGAGAAGTTGATCTTGATCGTAGTGGCTAGCAAAAGTAGCTGATAAATTGGTTTCAAAAATCAAAGTGACAACAAAGGATATGCTCAAAAGAACAAAAGAACAAACTGACCCTTCTTTTTTTTTTCGAATTCGCGACGTGTTGTCTCCCCCACTATGTTGCATGCTACCTCCATTCTTTAATAACTGGTCTATTATGACTTTCATGATACATTGAAAAGTGAATGAATGGAGACATAAGTGATGTCTACATCCATTCATTTTTCAATGCATCTTGAAAGTCATAATCAATAGTTATTAAAGAACAGATGGAGTATTTATCTAAACTTGCATCCATCTTAATGCTAATTGCAATTTGACACACACTTGGTGAATCCAATGATATTCTCAAAGGTGCGGAGCAATGGTTGGGCTGAAGGCGAATGCAAAGGGAGGGCAGGGTGGTTCCCTGTGGGGTATGTGGAAAGACGAGAGCGCATTCTTGCAAGCAAAGTTGCTGAAGTTTTTTAACAAATGGTTTCCACCCAAAATTCATAACTGGCTTCTCTCTATCTTGGAAGACTGCTACCCATATCTGTATGTATCTATTCATCTCTCTATCTATCTGAGCTTGTTTTTGTGATTGCCTGTCCCTTCTGTATCATTAGTCATGTACAACACTAATGACACATGAAAACGAGACATATTGGGGGGGGGGGGGGGGGGNTGAGTATTTCTTTGTTAGCAGTGTGGTTAGAAGTTAAACGTCCACAATTGAACCAATCAAAAAAGCAATACCAAGGGCTATAGAGTTTGTGTGTGTAGTGTTAGCCACATAGCTACCCAACCTTTGGGGCACCTCTTATCAATCTCCCTCATTCTCAACCTTCTTAGTTTGTTTTTTAATGTTCTAATTTATTTGTTTTTTCGTTTCTTGCTTTTTTTAAAAACGTGTTTAAAAAGTTATGATTTCTTTTCACTTTTTTGAAAACAAAAGCAAAATCCTTAATAATTAGAATTGTTAAATTCTCGTTTATATTGATTTAGAAAGAAAGCACGTCCATTATTCTTGAAGGGAAAAAAAAGGTCGAATCTCAATTCTCAACCTCTCGTACCGTTTCGAATTGAAAAAAGAGGCGATGTATGTATGAAGTACTTCCTTCGTCCAAAATTAATCTTTCATTTACTCTTACAGTTTCCCGATTACTCATGTTTGTATATTTGTTTTTATTGATCATTTGGTAAAATAAAATAATTTTGTCATCTTTTGTTTTATATAATTTTTTTATGTAGAGAAGGAGTGCTTATTTGTTCTACAACTTTCTTCTCACTATTTTGTTTTGGTTATCTTGAGATTTATTTCTCGTTCTTTAAAAGAAGTATTTGTGTGGCTCATTCTCCATATATATATTTTTTTACTTCCCCATCTTCCACCATTGCAAAATTCCATTTTTTTTAGTAATCTTCATTTTGAGACGAATGAAAGTATAGAACATACTACGTAATTATTAAGAAAACCAACATTAAATGATTGAAATTAAATTTCTTGGTCATGCAGTCCTCTATGTAGTAGTTATTCCTGCGTCCTGAATTAAAGTTTCACATTTGATTAAACATAATCAATCCTGAATTAAAGTTTCACATTTAATCAAACACAATTATTTAGAAAGCCAACATTGGATGATTGAAATTAGGGCTTAAGAGATTAAAAGATGTGAACTTCATAATCATTTCTTTCAAAGGGACATAGAATTTCATTCCAAACACATAAAAAAGAATATGTGAATTGTAGAAAAAAAAGAAAAGTGTGAAGTTTTTTCTGGACAAAAGTAATATACTTCATCTGTCCCAAATTATAATGCATGTTCACTATTCACAGGGTCAAGCTTCACTCACTTTCTTTCTCTATTTTCGTTAGTAATTTGATAAAATAAAATATTATTGTCACTACTAGTTTTGTAGATCTTTTGATGTAGTATTTTAATATGTAATTTTTATTTTTTAACTATATACCATTTGTCATATAAAATGATTTGAAAATAATTTCAGTCAAACATCGTAAATCGAAACAGGCGTTATAAAATGGGACGGAGGGAGTATACTTTAGCACATGTTTTACAAAGTATGAAATACTTCACCATTTATAGGGTCAAATTATGTCTTCTTTCATTACATGGTTGTGTTAACCATTTTTTTAAAATAAATTCGTCATATCACCACTTCTTTATAGAATTTTGGTGGACATTTTTTACTATGTACAAATTTTATTTTTTCAATTTGTACCAATATTCAGATAAATTAAATTATAAATAATTTGGAGCAAACATTAGAAACTAAAATAAGGTCGGAAGGAGTATTTTTATGGAAAAAGTGAAAAACAAGAATGAGAGTAGAACATAGAAAAATAATCAGTATATGACTTTCGTATTTTTATCTCAAAATAAAATATATAGTGGCAATAATGTTGACTAATAATACCCAAAAGCATTTTAAAATGTCAATATATAGTGCCAATAGTCCTATTTTGGGATAAAATACGGAGTAATTCTTTTAGAAAAACTTAAGGTGCCCTTAAAAAGGTGTCCAAATTCAACCCCCAATCATTTTTACTCTCTCACACATGACTATATCCGTAAAATGCTATCTATTAACTATAAGAACAAAAATGAATCCATAAAATCTTATCATTTTGAGACATCTAACATGACTCTATCTCTTTGTTCCATTTTGGGACATCCAACATGACTCCATCTCTTTGTTATTCAGATATGTAAAGATCTCGAAAAATGATATTTGTATTTCAATTTTTGATATCGGCATTCCAAAGTATACTATTCATTTTTCACATGTGAAATATACTTCCTCCGTCCTACTATATTTGTTCACTTTCATGTTTGCACACCATCCATTACACTTCTTTAATCCATTTTATCTTGTAATTTGTGTTTTTAAAAATTATAGAAATTATATATTAATAATCTATATGTTAAGACAAATCAAACAAGATCACGCATGACTATATTTAGGCTTACACATTGAGATGAGTCAAATTGCTTAGATGAACAGTTCCAAAAGTCAAAAGTGGACGAATATAGCGCGACGGAGGGAGTAATTTGGAGTGTCATTGTTAAAAGATTAGATTTAAATATAATTTCTCAAAGATTCCTTATGTAAACATTTTTCGTATTTGTTTCATATATATATTAATTTACCCATATATACTCGTTATTACGTAATCAATAATATTATTTGATGAACAAGAAAGGTGTATTATACTATCTCCGTCCCACTCTTTTTGTCCAGTTTTGACTTTTGGAACTGTTCATCTAAGCACTTTGACTCATCAAATTCTCTCAATGTGTAAGCCTAAATATAGTCATGTGTGATCTTGTTTGATTTGTCTTAACATATAGATTATTAATATATAATTTTTATAATTTTTTAATATACAAATTACAAGATAAAATGGATTAAAGAAGTGCATTGGAGGGTGTGCAAAAATGAAAGTGGACAAAAAGAGTGGGACGGAGGGAATATATTATTATTATTATTATAAATTAAACACTCTAAAGTGACATCTTTCCATGCAGTTCCAACAATAATGATTTTATGATGATAATTGACCGGTTCAGTAAAGGACAAAGTAACATTTCAAAAAGGAACTTTTCGAGCTGGACCAACCAGAAACCCACCCAGTATTTCCCGGTCCAGTCTGGCCACACTCTGATGATCGATCATATGAGCGCCACCGTACCATCTTCTCCGACCAGCCCTCCGGCCACCGGCCGGCTGTCGGCAAATCCGGTTCTCTCCCCTCCATTAATTATGGAAAGCATTCAATGAAGAAAAAAAAAGAGACATGAAAGAATTTATATGCACCCCATAAATGGAGATAGGATGTGACTTTGAAAATAATGTGTGTAAATGCAACTTCTTGAACACATTCTCCGAACTCTCTTTTGGGATAGCGATTGGGATGTTCGTTCAATCATCGGATCTAACGGATTGAAATCACCAGATTTTCAAACTTCCCAAAATATCTTCTATATGCTCCATCCGTCCCAATTTAAATCGTCTGTTTCAGTTTACGATGTTTGACTGACGTTATTTTTCAATGCAATTTATTAGAGAATTAGAGCAGAACTAAAAATATAAATTTTACATATTAAAAAACTACATCGAAAGCTCTGTACAACAAAATATGACATGATTATATTATTTTATTAAATAAGTAACAAAATAGGAAAAAAGGTGAATAATAATATGGTAATAGTAATAATACATGAAAAATATTTTATTTTTAGAGTTGTTATTTGGGAGTAAAGACATTGAAAATAATGGAAAAGTTAGGAAAACTGAAAGAATCTGGAAAAAATTGGAAAAAATCGAAAGAAACTAGAAAAAACTAGAAGAAGCTAGAAAAAAATTGAAAAAACTTGAAGAAACTAAAATTTAAGAGTTTAAACTCTAAAGAATAGACTCTTAGTTACAATATAAATTTAACATAATTGGATTTAGTCTAAGGTGGAAGTACAGATAGTTCTTCATATGTCTCAATTTGGATAACATTTAATACAAAGTATTACGTTTATTAATAATCAAAATATATAAGAGTACGTTTCATCAAAAAAGTCAAACGTTAAGATATTGGTCTTCTTTGGGAACAGCGTTTTCGATTAACATTAACGTTTTAGATAAAATTTTAATAGTATACATTAATTCTGAAAAAACTAAAGTTAAAGGCTACCGTCAAATAGCTTTTTCAAAATGTTAACTCTAATTTCTAACGCTGATGTCAAACGGAACTAATGGAAAAGTACACCTTGATTATTTTGGGGACGGGGAGGGAGTAGTTTGTTGAGATTGTTGCATAGCTAAAATAAATGCAAGTACAAAGTACCTTCTTCATTCACATTTCTTTCCCACATGCGTGCATTTATATATATCGCCCCCCCTCCATTTACTCATTATTATATATATGTTCGGACAACAACTTACATAGTTACATAATCATCCCTTCATCTTTTGTCCTCTCAATTTATTGTGCATCTTCTCGTTCATATATATGATTTATATTGTGTTCGTAGTTGATAATCCTTTTCTATATGTCTTGCAAAAAACTCAATCATGCAGTTAATTATTAAAGTGGATGGATGGATACTATATATAGTAAAATGGTAAAATGGCATGAAGATTAATTAATTAAGGTAGAGTAAAAGAAATGTTGTCTAAATTTGTCAAACTAATCTTTTAAATTTAAGCAGTTAAAGAATTTAATAGGCTAAGAAAACAAAAAAACAACAAGTGTAAATAATCAAGTGAGACCAAAAAATATCTAAAAAATACTTATAGATACAATATTGAACTTCCAATTAATTCTTAATTAAGGAGTTCTCGAGAATAGTATTATCAAAATACATAAGTTCAAGATAAAGTGAAAAAAGGCAACTCTAAAAGGTGGACAATGACGACTTCTTGTACAAGAACAAAACATCTGAAGACTATACTACTTTGCCTTTGCCAAGGCACAAGAATCATACCAAGTGACAGATGTCTTTTTTAAAAAGCTAAATCCACCAAAAATTAAGAACAACATTTAGGAATAATAATAATAATCTAGATTTGAATTAACATTGTCTTTGTATTGTCTTTGGAATACCAAGAATGTACTATACAAAGTTTTGTCAATCCGGATTATTATTATTCTTACTCACTATTTCTAATTCTAGGTGGATTTAACTTCCACCACCAAATTTTTCCAACACTATCTTTGGTTCGTAAATTCAATATGAAAAGAAAAGTACTTAATTTTCTCTCATTTTTTCATCATACGGCAAGAAAATCTGTTTCTCTTTAGTTCATTTCTTCTTGATTAAAATATCATTTCTTCCTTTTTCCATTGTTTTTCTCTTTAAAATTCCTTCAGCCAAACATAATGTAAATGTTTTTTCTTCTTGACTACCAAAAATGATGTCTGGGTCTCTTGAAAGAAGAAGTTGAAGATGGACTCATCTGTGGAACTGCAAAAGAGTTGTCATCTGTCCACTTCATGGTGAACCCATTTTGAGCTGCTGCAAAACCACCAAATGGAAGAGATGATGAAGATGATGATGACTGTGGGACCCCCCAAATCCCTTCCTTCTCTGTGCCGCAGAGGCTTCTCTCCATATCCCCATCCCAAAATGGCAACAACAGCCCATCATTATCACCCATCTGCAAATCATCCCCAAGATCTTCACTTTTTTCAGTCTTTACAGTCACTAATCATATTAGGAATATACTGATGTGTAAATAAAGATCAAATGATCAACAAATTCCCCTGACCTTAGATGGGCAGATTGAATATGGAGAAGATGAATCAAGAAGCTCTTCGACGCCGTAACCGGGCAGGCTCTCCAAATACTCTGATAAACTACTGCTGCTGCTGCCCGTAAAGCCATGACAATTGGGTTCTGCCACTACATGGTGGATGCGGGAAACAGGGGCAGGTGAAACCGCCGCCGCCGCCTTGTTGGAGGATTCTTGGGACTTGGAGGGCGGAGGAGAGCAGAAGAGATGGGAGGCGGCGGAGATCTTGACTCCGGAGAGAAGAAACCTGTCGTGTTTCTTGGTGTGCTCGTTCGATCTGTGCACGGAATCGTCGCAATCTGTGCACAGAATCGCCCTGTCCTGCTGGCAGAACAAGAATCCTCTTTTCTCCTGAAAATTGAGAGAGGAAAGAAAAAAAAAAGTCAAACCTGCAAGAAAATAAAAATGGGGAGGGGGGGAATGGAATGTACTGTGTTTTACGGGGTGAGGGTGTTACCTTGCAGATGTCGCAGAGAGGGGATTGGGGCGGGTGGAGGAGGGAGAACCGGCGGTGTTTTCCGGCGAGTTTGTTGGCGTGGTGGACTCTGCGGTCACAAGCCGGGCAAAGGGCGGCATCGTCTGCAACGCAGAAGAAAGAAGCTTCGTGTTTGTTGCAGACGTCGCACTGGATCTTCATTATTATTGTCTGATCAAAAGAAGAAGAAGATGATGATGGAGGTGGCAGCAGCTAATTAAGGTCAGTGGGGAAGAGTTAAAGAATGGAAGAGAAATGGGGATGTTATATAGGTGGACTAATAATGGCTCATTTTTGTTGGAATAATGGAATAATAATATTGCTCCTTAAATTATGAAGTACATGATAGAGTATATATAGAAGAGACTCCTAACACAACTAGGAATAGAGAATAGAAACTAACTAAAATACAACTTCTACCATAACTAGGAATACTTAATATTATTGTCTAACATCCTCCCTCAAGCTGAACTCTGGCTGAAGCAAGAGGAAGCTTGGACACTAGCTGGAAACTGGAAACTTTGAGAAAAGATAAGTCTGACGTGCGCCGATGGCTGCTGACGTCGTTGGAGAAGAGAGAAGGTTGACGTGCGCTTGTAGCTGCTGACGTCGAAGAAGAATAGAGAAGACTACTTGAGGTGCCTGTTTAACTGAAGATCTTTGACATTCTTTGTCTTTTTCTTGGATCCGGGCAATGTCCTATTTCTTTCTTGAAGGGGTGTAGAGGTATTCTTTTCTCTTTCACTACTTCCCTTCTTGGCTTTGCTTTTGTGTTTTTTTTGAAATTTTATTGGTTAACAAAGGATAAAGAGAAGAAACACTGATGATTAGAATGAGTGATTTGAAAGAGAAAAAAAGGGATTAAGAATTGGTGATGAAGAAAAGATCTAGGTCTAAGAATCTTCGATAGTGAATTGTAGAGAAACAACTATCTTTTTTTTCCCATGATTTTGAGAAGATACAAGGATGAGTTGAGAGTGTTTGTGTGGAGTTGGTTTTTTTTTTGAAGAATCATGGAGATGACAAGAGAGAAGTTTCGTCTTTGATGGTTTTTTTGTGTGTGATTTCAATAGAGGTTTTTTTCTTTTTTTTTTCATTTGAATGGAGAATTTTATTTGAGGATAAAAGAAGGAAAAGAAAATAGAGGTGAATAGGGTGGAGCCGCCGTCGTCAGAATTACCGGCAGCGGCGGCGGAAGCAATTAACTCTTTTAGGTCACCAAGAGCGATGGCTCTGATACCATGTTGGAATAATGGAATAATAATATTGCTCCTTGAATTATGAAGTACATGATAGAGTATATATAGAAGAGACTCCTAACACAACTAGGAATAGAGAATGGAAACTAACTAAAATACAACATCTACCACAAATAGGATTAGGAAGCTGACTGATAATGAAACACTACCACAACCAATACTACCACAAGTAATACTATTATTATTGTCTAACAATTTTCTCTTCCTTTCCTCTCCTTTTCCTTTCCTAAACACCAAATTGGTATTGAAAATTTGAAAAACTCTCTCTCTCTCTCTCTCAATGTATTTACTTAGTTTGATATTTTTGTGTCAAATTCAGACAATTTAGTATAAAAATAATTTTATTAAAATTATCTTGTTAAAACTATAAAAATTTTAGTTTATTATATTAATATGTAATACAAACTAAGAGTAACTGAATCTCAAATATTATCTAGTTTGACTAAAAAAAAATTAAATTGGACAAAAAACACTAAGGCAGATATAACTTTTAAATATGTAATTTTTATTTTATTTTTCTACACCAATTTATCGAACAAATAATTTTTAAAAAGTTAGATTTTATACGTTATTTGAATAGTGTACATGAATTTGATCGATGTTATAATGGAAATGAAAGTATTATACCAAAAAATACACGCAAATTTTTCATAATCAATATTAACATACGAAGACTTTGAGGGTGTTTGAAATATACTAGGGGGGGTGTATTCAATCCAGATTTTTAAAGATTCTGGCAGATTATTTTAACTCCAAGGATTCTGTAAAGTCAGTGGATTATTTAAAATCTGTGCAGAGTTAGATAGATTTTGATGTATTTTGTTAGCATGATTTTATAAGATTGTGATAGATTGCTTATTATCAATGAATTATTTATATATATACACTTAGGGCTGTAAATGGATAACCGAAAATTCGTTTACCGTCCGCATCCGTATCCGTTTATATGAAGAATATCCGCATCCGTTAAAAGCGGTTATTATCCGTATCCGATTAAGGATATCCGATTGCTAAACGGATACGGATTTGGTAATCACACATCCGATCCGTTTATAATCCGCTCCGCATTGACATCCGTTTAAATAACCGTTTATCCGTGTATCCGATCCGTTATTTATAGTTTTTCCTTATTTTTTATTTTTATATTTTGTTTCTCTATTGATATCTCAAAGTATAAGATATTTTTATATGTAAAATATATGTGTAGACCCATAAAAATATGTGTAGACATATAAAAATGTGTGTATATATCTACTATATATATCTTTTTATGATATGAAATCATCGTAAAATATCATAAACTATAAACAAATAAGAAAATAATTATCCCATAAAAAATTATAGTTGATTTAATAATATTTTGATTTAGTTTAATTGAAAATTAAAGTATTGTTTGATTTGGTTTAAAAAATTGGAAACGGATACGGATATATCCGATATCCGACCGATATCCGACGGATGCGGATACGATTTTGATTTTCAGTATCCGTCAAGATCCGTATCCGAATTCGATATCCGACAAAAATAAACGGATACGGATTTGGTAAAGGCACATCCGATCCGATTAAAATCCGTTTACACCCCTATATACACTTGAGTTATTTTAAAAATCTATGCATTATCCTAACATTGATTATTACTTATGAAATTGACCAAAAATTCAAAAAATAACATTATAAAATAAAAATAAATTATTTTTAAAACATAATTATTATTATTATTATTATTATTATTATTATTATTATTATTATTATTATTATGCTCAACACCAACATATAATATTGCTTTTTTTATAACTAAAGTTAATCCTCATAATTGATTTTGATAATTGGAAACTTTAAAACACCAGCTCAATTCTTTCGACTAATCTACCTTCAATTAATGAACAAAGAGGGGAATTTTGTCTTCATGAAATTTCCAGAAGAGAATAATTGGTGATGTACGAACAAAACTTGATGCTGCACGAACTTGACCTATTCTTCCTTCGGATCTGTCTGCTGATGACAAAAGATGGGACCAAATTATATTTGAAGAAAGTATTGATGAAGAGACCCACGACAGAGGAGGCTGGTGAATTTGGTGACGGCCTTGGTGCCTTCAGACAGCGTGCTTGGCCAATTCTCAAAGAACCAATCGCACTGCGGTATGGATCTCGCGGGAATTGATGGTGGGATGCTGTTTTCCTTCGCCGGCAGGAAGAAGGCCGGTGTCGACGATTTATCTGGGTAAAGGTCCGTGCGGCGGCGCCCGTTGGAGAAGAGAAGCACGGGAGAGATGTTAGGGTTTTATGAACCATAGCTGAAGAACGACTTCAGGCTGAAAGAGAATAGGAGTGGGCAAAATCCCATGGCTTTTGATTGGATTTGTATTTATACCCAAGGCATGAAAATCCATCAAAATCCATAATTTTTAAAATATTTAAAAATCCATCAATTTTTTAATACCATCATATTTAGAAAGATTTTTTAAAGTTTAAATTGAATACACCCAGATTTTAAATGACTTTTTAAATTCTGAATTGAATACTTACGGATTTTCAGAATCCAAAAAAATCTATCAGAATCCGGATTGAATACACCCCCTAGATGTTTGTCAGAAATTCGATACATATTTTTTTATGTAAATTTGAAGCGAATTGAATTTTTTTTGGTTTTATGTAAAAATCAAACCGAAAAGTCAAACTCAATCCTACACATTGTTATTGGTTTATCGAGTTAGTATTTTTACAATTTTTTAATATTTATAAATTTTTATTTTTAAAAACTGAAAAAAAACCGAAATAAAAACCTCATAAAACTGAATCGAATAATAAAAGATTTACATATATTTTATATAAAACCGAACCAAACTGCCAATTTACCTTCTATTTTGTCTTTGGTTTTAATTTGGATGAAAATCGAACCACCCCTACCGGTGGGTGATAGCAGAGAATGTGAGAATCAGGCAGTGGGGGAGAGGGGGGAGCAGGGCAAGATACGAGGGGCATTTTGAAGAGATCAAAACTATTGCCAACTCTTCTTAAAAATAGACAAAAGTTAAAATGAGAAATTTTTTATCGGAGGGAGTATTTAAAAACCATATAAAAATGTTATAAAAACAAAAGGTGATAATAATTTTTATTTTATCAAACAATCAATGAAAACATGCAAATAAACACAAGTTATCGAGTGACCATAATCATGAAAAACGAAAAGACTATTTCTCTAATAGATCTTTGATGTACTAAGGTCTCGTATCACATTAGCATTAGAGGTTGGTGTTAACATTTTGAGAAGGTAGCTATCTTATGATAGTCTTTAGTATTAACTTTTTCAAAATTATTTTATAATTTCAAAACGCTAACACTAATAAAAATATTGTTTTCAAACAAGGCCTATGTTTTAACTATCCAAAACTTTACTTAAAGAAATAAAGAAAATTTAACGTGGCATCTGGATTGACATAATAATACTTCGTATTTCATATTTCTAAATAGTCAACTCGTATCTGTTTTCTTATTCATTTTCCATTATTAGGGAGAATTTAATAAAATTAAATAGTCACATGTTTCTTATTTTGAAACATTTTAAATAATTACGGAGTACTTTTTAACTAGATTGATTTAAAAAAATTATTCGCAAGTTTTCAAATCACAAGAAAATGAAAAAAGTCAAACATTATAAATTGTACCACTTCATCCCAATTTATATATACTTTTATCCTAATTTTAATCATATATTATGAAAAAATATATTTAATTAAAATATAAATTAGTTGTAATTGAATTTATTTTAGGATATAGTTTTGATATATTGAATTTTTATAACATTTTAAATTATATTTCATTTGTTATCAAATTTAGCATGAAAGCCAAACTAGGATAAATAATGTACGAGGAATATACTTTCATTTTTTAAACATTGATAACTCTATTATATGACAATAACAATAATTCAGTAGAATCCAACAAAATTAAGTATAGTCTGGAGAGAGTGTGTATG